TTTTCTGTACAGATAGAATAGCGAAGACCCAAGAAATATTAAAAAAGACTATTTATCATAGATGGATCAAACATAGTGCTACAGTGTAGGTTGGAAGGTTGCGAGTGACGTCACCAAGTGACATCATTACATAAGGTTACAACACAATGCCTAACATTGAGTTATATTGCCGATCGTGATGTGGGCGTTTTACCCATTTTATCGCGTTTGAAAATACTCTGTTATACATTTTAAGTATTGTCTACTGTTTACGTGAATCGTACTTATGTTTTAAACGCAGATTCAACGGTTCAAAAGTCGATTCATCTAACATACTTACTTTATTTTTTACTAAATTAATATTCGTTCAAAGTTGTAGTTAAAAAATATTATTTTTATATGACGTGCTGTTCTCTGCACGGAGTTCACTTAATGGAATGTGAAATAGGCCGTCCATAGAACATTTTAACTGGATGCGCAGTCGACTCATTTGGCTTTGGATATGCGAAAATCCACAGATTGATCCGAAATGTCGGACTGTAATTAAAATATTTAATACGTTTCGCGTGTTAAACTGTTAGTAATGTTTCATTTAAGTGTGTAGATATTACTCGCGGAAACTATAGACAGTACATACATTGGTAATACTGTCTGTACTTTCTACAGATTATTTTTTTTATTATAATTCAATTAATGGGTATAGATACTTTAAAGGTATTGACATAATTGAGGCTTGCAGAATCCTTCTTCGAAATAACTACCTAAATGTTGTATTACAAGGTTACTGACACAGCGGGCAAGTCAAAAGTCTGTACAGACATTTTGACTTCTTATGGAGTTTGAATACTTGACCTCAAAACCTTATCTCTCCATCTAAGGAGCATTTGGAGGTTGTATGGACATACCGCTATTCAAATAACTAATTGTCCGTTTAAAATATCTCACGTTCGTGATAGCAGTTCCTTTCAAATAAAAAGCAATTTAAGTACAAACTATGCAAATGTAATTATGGGTACCATATAGTAAGTATTTTATATAACACACACATTAAACACATTCTAGAAACATTGGAAACGTCGGGTCGTAGATAAATTAAAAATGCGGTTACGAATAGGTATGTTGCGTTTAAAGCCGTTAAGAATGTAAATAAAAATCGAAAATAAATTGAAAAAAATTACGACTCGGGCAGGACTTGAACCGGCATCGACGGTGTACCGTGCTGTTGCTTCAACCAATGAGCTACCGAGGCCTACACCTCATCGTGGATTTTTTTTTCATACTATTGATACACGCACCTCTCGCGCAAGTCCTGCACGAGTTGTAATTTTTTTCAAATTATTTTCTATTTTTATTTATATAGTGCCATCATTTGCTATAACATGTGAATCTTAGTTTAGTTTATTATATACTCGTCGCGTAACGTTCATTGTCTTTAAAACATCGAATTCAACGAGACCAATCTTCATTTCGTAAGTACTAAACACAGGTATAAAAATATAACCCATTTCTTATTTATGTCATAGAGTCTGTGGTAAGTTGAAAGGTATGTCGGGTAACGAGGTCCATTCTCCGCAGGCAAGTTGTGTCAGTAAGTTGGTCAAACCGTTACGCAATATTATGTTAAGACAACGGGGGACTTCACACATCCATCCGTGCGAAATGAACACGATTTTATTCCACCAGCAAGACGTGTTAAAATATGTGATAAATCGATTTATTTATTTACTTAGATTTTTTGATTTTGTATCTAATTAATTATTAATTACTGTGATCGACCGTCGTATCGAAAAAACTAAACTACCCTCGAATTTTATGATTTTATTAGTTACTTATTTACAATAACTCTTTCATACTTGTTTCGACTTTTATGTTGTCTAAGTAATTTAAGGCAGTTTTTTAATTCCACCAGTAATATCACATTTGTAGAGTAACTAATATTTTCCACATGTATCGAATTAAATTAAACAAGACAAACAAAAAAGTATATTGTTTATATATTAGGTTGGCGTTTGCGAGAAAAATGAAAAATATGAGTAGACCCCACATGTGCGCTCCACTTTCGTTTAAAAGCTGCTCAAATACAAACAGATTAGTATTTGTTTTTAAATGTGTTACCGTAGTTTACTCATATGTAATTTAAATATGGTTAAAACGAACACATATATCCGTTTAAATAAATTAATTGCTATTTTTGTCGCGATATTAATCAATAATAATTATGGAGCTATGATTAGAAGGCTCTGAAATAATATTAAGACACGAGCAGGATTGAACCGGCATCCACCGCGTTACGTGCAGCTGCCCTAACCAATTGAGCTACCGTGTCCCGTTATGTACCGTGGTTATTCATATTGTTTTCAAGGGTAAATAAAAACCTTAAATAACTTGAATCTTAAGTATTGTTCTAAGTTATAAACACTTAACTTAACTTAAAAGATTAAGACTTAGACTGTGTTTATAGCGCTTATAAGTTTATTTTTTACTACGGCCTGACGTTTCGGATGTTCTTCAGTAGTGTTACCTACACATGAGGCCGCTTGAGGCAGAGTAGCCTAACTGAAATTTTATGACATGAGTGATACATGAGTAAACAAGAACACAGTGACCACACAATTCTTACACAAATAATAGTTTAATTCATTTTCGCCTTAATTGCGCATTTTATTTTCCTCCTTATTGAAAATCACGTTTTTTGTTATTAGGCCACTCTGCTTCTAGCAGCCACATCTCTTCTTCTAAACTGTTGAAAGTGTTTTATTAAAACTGAATCTTAGTCACTTACTGTTACATAAGAAATGCTTTCATGTATCGCCTAACTGCTTAGTATTTGAAGTTCTTGTGTATATTTTAACTATTGAGAAAGTCTATGATTTTACCGCCTAAGTAACTAAATAGTTAAATGTGTTGCCTAGCATTGCGTTATGCGCGAGAGATCCAATCCCAGGAAAATAGTAAATTGTTTCGGTCGGGCAGGACACAGAAGTCTGATCAACTACAGGCAAGTAGTAAGTAAATAAAATCGATCAATGAAACGGACACAGAAATGTGTTAGTCCTATGAGGAGAGTCACGAGGAGGAACAGGATTTCGTCGTTAATTTATTAAGATGTTTAGCGGTAATTAAACCGTATATGGTTTGTTCTATTACAATAACTTTTCTTCTAAGAAACACACAACACCTTCGGCGCAAGAGATTGGTCGGACTCTATTTAAAAGTACCTCTGCTAAGTTGATTAGTGATTGGAATCACATAAACAAGCATATTCTAAGCACGAAGATGACATAATGAGTTAATTGGAAACGAGAATAACTTGAAAGCCTTCACGTTGTTTTCGCATTGCACAAGGAAGCCTGATGTCATCCGAGAAAATATGCAAAAGACTAGCTAGCTAGTGTAGGATCCGCTTCGAATTCGAACAATATAATAATACTGACTGCAAAGCATCCGAAACGTCGGGCCGAAGTTAAAAATCATTCTCAAATAAGTTTTACTAATAAATCGCGTTTTAAACCGTTAAAGTGTTTTATTTAAATTCAATACTTATTGCCATGTAATTAAGGTGTATTTTGGAAGTTACATGCCCCGGTTTTTAAATCTGTTAATGCTTGTACAATTATATGTCTTATGTCGTAACAATAAGGTATATTTAAATATTTATACGTTTGACCTTACAGGAAGGACATTTGAAATCAGCTGTTTGCTAACAAGTATTTAATACATCTACATTCTATTTAAAAAACTTATCCATATTAATATTATAAAGCTGAAGACTGTTCGTTTTTCAACGCGCTTATTTCAGGAACAGGTCTCAAATTAAAAAAACTCTTTTCGTCTTACATAAGAGCGAAGAAGAAGTAGGAAATATGAAGAAAACGCGGGAAATTATTCATCTTTAAAGATACGCGTTGCGTGCGCGGCGAAAACTGTTCAAGATACCCAAATATATAGCAAAGGATGATTCATTTGTACCAAAGATAAAAACTAAAATGAACAATATACCTTGCATCAAAGCTGTTATTAATGAGGAGGTTTGCAAAAATAAATTTGGATGCCCAAAATAACTATTCTACGCGGACGAAGTCGCGGACTAAACAGCTAGTTTGCATATAAACGAGTAGAAATTTCACTCAAATGCAATTATGATCATTAAAAATAAAACTACCGACTAAGTTACGTTTAATTATGTACATAAGATAAATCCTAGTACTGGAGGTGTTATACATATAATTTAATTTACTAAATACGGAAAATTTTGTTGCGTGTTTTATTGATATTTGCGGTTATGCTAAAAACAGAATTATTTTTCTTTAGATTTTTTAAATCTACGTCCCGAGTATTTAAGATTCTTAGATCTTATACAGTTGTTTTTGGATAACATAGACGGCGATACCAATTTTAACGAAATATCTGTTAAACATAATATATGAACATGGTCTAAGATGCTCTTTCATCGGAACAGAACAAATCAATCTGGCTGATGTTAATATAGCATAAGCATAAATCAATAATGATATATCACTAGATACAGTAGATGACACTATGCATCCTTTTGTATATTTTTTTAGTTGAACACAGATTTATAAAATTCACATAAATGGAATATAATAATATATCTTTTTCTCAATAATTTAAAAGGCCATCTTTTCCGACCCGGGCGGAACTTGAACCAGCATCCGCAACGTTTAGTGGTGCTGCTCTAAACAATTGAGCTATTGTGTCCTACACGGATTTCTTCATCCCATTGGTATGCACCCTTAACGCCAAAAACTTACGTGTTGAAGTTCAAAGTCCTATGCTTTAGTTATGGAGCACGTAACTCTGCGGATGGCGGTTCAAGTTCTGCCCGTGTCGTTAAAATGTTTTCTATCAAAGTTATATGTATTTATGTAATGCCATAGTGTGCGCTGCTGTGCATGTTAAAATATTATAGTATTATAGTAATCCTCTCTTACTCTTATTTTTACGGTTACTTATTTTTATTAATAGTGTAAAATTATTAATTTTATTGAATATTGTTCTAGATGTGGAGCATCCTGATGGTAGCGGCGCTGTTCGCGACCGCGCGGTCCAAGCAATTGCCTTCCAACTTAGGTAAGAGACAATCAAATGCTTAACATAACCTTCTTGTGCAATTTCGGCTATGGTTTTGGCTAGGTCTAACTAATATTATAAAGCTGAAGAGTTTGCTAATCTGAACGCCCTTATCTCGGAAACTACTGGTGCGAATTGTAAAATTATTTTTGTGTTAAAACACTTATTGAGGTTGTGACTAATAGAAGCGAAGAAACAGACAATTGTTCATCCTTGTGGGTTTCCATCACTTAAAATGTTGGGTACAAGAAGAGAGATGACTGGTTGTTCCTATCTTGAGCGTGGAACTTATTTATGTGTATGGTCATTAACTGACTTCATAAATAAGTAGTAGATCAGACTTGCCCTATGCTCTGTAACCAAACTATATATGTTTCATCGGGATTCGAACCCAAGTACTCCCAAGCTTAAAGCGATACTAGGCATGAATTTAACCGCTGAACTACACAGACGTTCTTGTAAAAGTAAAGGTGGTAGCCTAAACATTCATATATTGTTTCTAAATAAGAAAAGATCAGTACAACCTGCTGGAACACAAAATGGGCCATTATCCACAAATAGACACAAAAAGAGCTCATTGTGATATTCCAATAGGCGAGTGGACGGTCGGGGTCAATGCACCCCGGGCGCCAAGAATCCATCGGGCATCGATGTTCATAAGCGGAGCGGGGTGCGATTATTAAAACTTAAGTTATTTAAATTAGAGCCTCTAACGGTTTAAAATGCGATGTGTGTTAGTTAAACTTTATTAATTTTAAATAATATATATACATCGCGATTTAAGCTGTTAAGTGTTTCATTTAAAAGTGTACTACTCGCATAAACTACGAATAGTATTTGCTTAAGTTATTATTAAGTCTCAATTTTAGATACCGATGAGCCATAAGTTGTATTGACTGAAACAGAAAAAATTCACACACAAAAAAACACATTGAAGTGTTTTGTTTATTTGATGTTTAGAAGAGTGTTTAATTGACTGAGATATGCTGGTTGCATATCTCAGAAACACTCTCTTGTCACATTTTTTTGTTTTCGTATCGAGCTCCCGACCCTATAACAATCTAGCTTTAAGGTTTTTGCTGAATTTTAATTACGGTTATTGTAAATATGTATAATTACAATTTGTAATTTTATATTGGTCATTACAATTCAATCTCCTAAAATGTAGAATAATTTTACCGTTAAAAGGCCGGTCCAATACTTTCGTAATTGTTTAAAAATATACGTATATACGTTTATGAAGAAGATATAAAAGTAGTCAGAGGCCTTTACACTTCGCCCAGTTTATCAATATGACCATACCCGAATTCAGGCATCGCTATTTCATATTCTCGACTTGTATTTTTGTTTATCACGACTTGGAATCGTTTTATGTGCATACTGGTTATTCCGTTGACCGTTCTTCCAGGGTGGTAATTTCATCATAAAATTAACTATCAAGATCCTGGCTTATTTAGTTGTAAACTTTCTAAGCACTTTTATTGCCTTAATTCTGGTCCTCTGAGTAAAGAATAATATTGATGTATTTGTACGACTATTATTGATTATACAATGTATGGGGAAACAAGATTTTTGGGACCTTTTTTACTACGTGAAAATGCGACACCCTTGTAGGACAAACACATTTCTGTATTCGTTTCAATGATCGAAATTATTAACACTTAAGTTGTAGTTGTAGATTACGAGTACTAAGCTGATCGACGGAAACAATTTATACCTTGATTTTGAACCTTAGACCTTGCCTACTTAATCGTAATGCAAAGCGTTAAACCATTGCGGTTAAAGGCAGTCTCTTGTACTTAAGATATAGCAAACAATTAATAATCATATACAGTCTGTAGTACACTCTGCAAGTTTCAAAACAGTGGTGTGTATATCTATAGATAAAGGTATCTCGCACGCATGCTCGACCAAACTGACCATTTAAATAAAACACTTTAATGGTTTAAAACGCGCAATATAATAGTTAAACTTATTTGAAAATTATGTTACCGACTACCCGAGGTTTGGGACGCTTTGCAGGAGTTGTGGTCACGTGGCCACATTAGCTAATATATTTCGCGTTTTAGACCGTTAAAGTGTTTTACTTAATGCGTTCTCTTTACAGATGTCTCAAATGCAGTAGCTACTGTCACAGAACCCGACTCCGAATGGCCAGAAGCACTGGCGCCCCTCGACACCTTGACTGTGGCGTGCGAGAAAGACAACATGCACGTCACAATATCTCTATCCTCTAATCACGCTAACAGGTAACATCATAAATACATATTGTATATTTCTTTTTTATAATAGACAAGCATGGGTTACACTTAATGATGACAGTAAAATACCCTAGCCATATACCTAACGCCGAAACAGAATGCGCTCGAGATCGATTTGAACTTTCGAAATTCGGAAACAGCCTGAAGCCGAAACGCGATTACACATCCCGCCCTTTCATATATAGCTGTTAGTTTATGATAATTACACAAGACAAGATAATTCTATATTGCTACCACTCATTTAATATCCACAATGCAACACAAAGTATAACATGTTTTTTACGTTATTAGACATGAAGGCACTATACAATTTAAAAATCGAAGATAAATTGAAAAAAAAATTTGACTCGGGCAGGACTTGAACCGACATCGTCAGCGTTCCGTGCTGTTGCTCTACCAATTGAGCTACCTTAGTGACGTACTTGTAGTTGGGTAAATTGTAAAGTCTAACATGTTCAAAAAAGATAATAAATTATTAGAAGCATTTTGAACCCGGTGGGGATCGACTCCATGACCATTATTAGCCAAGCACTGATACTCAAAAAATGATCTAGACATTTTTTTAAATGCTTCGATTTAACAGAGTATGATGAAGAGAACAGATATATCGTGGGTACGATTTCCAGCAGGCCCGATACAATTGTAATTAATTTAGAATTTTTCTCAAACATGTTGGACTTCATCTAGGAAATATATATTATAGATAGATTATAAATAGAGTAGGAATATCAAAATTCCGTCCGGGCCACAGACCGCCTTCCACAGATGAAATAGCCATCAAGTTTCTCATCCCATCCGTCTGTAGATTTCCGAATATCCAAAGTCAAAATACATACAGCGCATTTTATTCAGCATTTATATGGGTTTTTGAATGACTGAATTAAAAAAAGTATACTCTTAAAAACTTACATAACATGAATTTCAGTGTGTACGACTCTTTCAACGGCATCGTGTACCCAGCTGGTCTGGGCAGCAACTCGACTTGTCTCCGAGAGTACGTGGCGGCCCGCGGCGACTTGCAGTACACCCTCCCGCTAAAGGGCTGCAACACAATGTCCACAGATAATGTTAGTATAAAACATATTATCACTTACACTACCGCGACTGTGTAAAAATAAACTTTTCTCCAAAACAACGAGCAAACAAGTAAATTTGCCATTTTTAATTTATTCAGAGAAATACGTCAGTTTGAATTACGGCTCCTGCAGAGCTACCGAAACGTTGGGTCGTACTTAAGAACACGTGACCGTGACGTGAATATTTTTCGCGTTTTAAAGCGTTAAAATTTATTTATTTCAATATCTACTGCAGACTAGTACAGGGTCGAAAAAATATCTTAAGAATTTACTAGTTACTTTTAATAATATTTTGTATCTATTATTTTTTTACAAATAGCGCTGTATAGTTAATCAACGCATTTAGCAAAGATTCAAACTACCTACACTTCTTAATATATACAAAGTATATATCTATATTACATAATTATATATTACTTAGTAGTTTGTCGTAGTTTCCCATTATTTGATTAAGATCAAATTTAAAACCGTATAATACGATACGTCAAGCGTGTTGCGCAAGCGCACGCAGAGGGAAACACGTGACATGAATCAATATTATGTTCGTGTGTCTGTCAAGGAAACCGCCTGTCGCAAGTCATAATCCAATATTTGTAGCGATATATTTACAGTTGGCATATCGGTGTGAACATTTTTCTTGTACCTTTTGTTAAACCCATCGTTTTAGCTCCAGTATGTATTAGAGCGCGTTACTTTGACGTGGGACAAGAATAAGAAGAACGAAGATATATCTCTCTCTGTCTTTTAATGAGCCAAAGAATTAATGCCTAGTTTCGAACTAGGGCCTCTATTACTTAGAGGTTATCGTATTTATCAAACCCTCAATCTAAACTTAAATCTAATGGTGTAAGTTGGTTTATTTTTGAAGATAAGTCTTCTTCTTCGTAAAGTTATAAACCATAGAATACCATTCCGAACGTTGTTCTTAGTAATTTTTCGTTGGTATTTGTTTAACTGGAGAGTTTGTTTTTAAATATTTACTTAGCATCTTTTTGTCTCACTTGAGAAATTGTCGATCCTAAATAAACAATCTTTGTTATACCAAATAAATATTGTTGGTTTACTATTTCACACATAAATAGTAACATTAATTTGTTTATAAATCTAAACTATATTTGAAACTATTATCTATAACGATTTACGATTTTAAAGTGAGTTCGGGTAAGTTTCTCAAACTTCTACCTTCACAGGTAAACCTTATACGATAGAAAAAAATAACTATCCCTCATGTAAACCTATGTAGTTGCATAGTTAATTTTTTATATGGTTTTCGGGCCATAATCCTCAATACGGCTAGTTAGCTATATTTTGCATTTTCATACAAACACACAATCACGCGCCAACACTATGTATTGTCGATTTATTAAAATAGTTGTAAGATACACAGCAAAATTAATACTGTGAATATTAAAAAAAAAAACTTTAATAGACTGGCGAGCTGAGAAGACAATCGTTTTTGAACAACATGCTTATTTAAATTTTTGCGTGAGAGTTGCATGTATCAATAGGTTGGAATCTGTAGCTCAATTTATTAGAGCAACAGCACGGAACGCTGTGGATGCCGCTTCAAGTCCTACTCGTGTTGTAAATTTTTTCAACTACTTATTATACTATTTGATTCGCATATCGAAGCGGATTTGTCGTGATTAAAATGTCCACTCTATATCGCTAAAACTTGGCCGCTTACCGAGTGTCATACACACTTGTTGTTACTCATTGTGACCATTTTCGCCGCCCGCGCGTCGCTCCAAGGCTCTTGCAAAGGTCTCTTGACTTGTTTGCGATTTTTACCTCGTATTATTAATTTGATTTATCCTTATTAATATTCGAAGAGAATGAAGCGAGTTGAAATGTAGTTTGTGAATTTATTACCTAACGCGACGAACTCTCTATGTCATTTTTAATTAGATCTTGTATTTGTGTTTTGTAAACTGCAATTTTAAGTGTCTTTTTTTCTAGTAGAAATAATGAGAAATATCTTAGAATAATAATTAAAATAAGAAACTTACGCGGGCTCGTTGGTAGTCCTCAATTGACAAGGGCGGTAAATTTGACAGCTGTCGACTGCATGTCATAAAACACAGAGAATATAAACAGATCCTATTATAGATAAACGAAATAAGTTTTAGTTTTTTTTATTTATATATTTACTAGTGTGCCAGCGTTAAATTACTTTCATACATTTATAGAGTAGGTATGTGACAAATGCATTGAACAATTATTGGCAAACACATCGTTCACCAAAAGACAAGACGAATAAAATAGTTAACAAGGGTTGATCTTGCAAATTTGGAGATCGGTCATGCTAAATTGGGATTGCAAAAAAATATTAATGAAAAATAATTATACAATATAGTGGCGTTTCAGTTGATGTAATTGAATATAATAGCCATATAACATCTAAGCAAAATGGCAATTACAAATAGGAACTGACAATATAGCAGAAGATGATATTAACGAATTAAGGATGGAACAAATAATAAAAAAATTCACAGAAATCTGAATGTTGGAAGGAGATAGAGTTTTATAACCCGATGGCATCGATGAGGGGGGAATGGGGAAATTATTAGCAATATGGCCTGATCAACAGGCCTTCTATCGGTGTCTCTATTATGATAAAATAATAATGGTAAAGCTCAGAAAAGAAATTCAATATCCAGATTGTCGAAACACTTTACAGAAAAAACACACGCACACAGGCATTAAACCCACGATCTACGACCTACTATTAAATCACTATCATGCCTCATATTTCCTTATATATTTAACTGATTCATACAAATATATAAGGCGACCACAGAAACATGTTATTGAAAGCATATTACGCAAAACATTGAATTACGTTTATATTGAATTCCCATGCGACCGATCGCGATCGATATCTGCATTAAAAATTCACATCAGCCCGCCACTTCCTTCCCAACGGCTTTCGAACGGATGTGACGTCACCTGGCCCCGAAAATGACCCTTGCGGAGAAGAGGTCTTTTTGATGGGAACGTACAGTAGAGCTAAAAGATTGCATTGTATGTGTGACCTATATCACTCGTAAATCAACATATGTGCATCAATGTAGTCATGAGTAGAAAAATATTAGGATTTAATGTAAATCTCTAATACTCGTATAAAAAGTTCTTCTTTCGCTATGTTTGTCAGGAAACTCCTCAAAAACGGCTGAACAGATTTTAATGAAATGTTGTATACACATTCGGTAGGTGTGGGAATAGGTTCTCAAGCAAAATTATTCAATTATTTTTTCTTGTAGCAAGTTAGGTAAATTTTTTATACCGAAAAATTCTTTTGAAATAACGATGTTTGTCGGGTCAGCTGGTAGAAGCAAAAAAGGAACTTATATTAGTTCATATAGTATGCATTATTTTGTATGCAATCTCCTGCTTAGCTTGCTTATTTATGAACAAAACACAAATTATAAATCAAATTCTTTATTTAACATTATTGTATTGCAGGAGGACGGCACAGTGGAATACTACAACAACATAATAGTCCAACCACATTTGCGACTGGTGACTGGCCAGGGGAGGGGATACCACGTGCGCTGCAGATACCGTCGCCGGGACCTCACATTCTACCATTTACATAGGCCGCACGCTGACAGACTCACTAACTCGAGGGTCGGGTGCGTACCCATCCCAACCAAATAATATCCATATTTCCAGACAAACGTGTTTTAAAAAATATATAAATTAGTTAAAAACATGCTGGACCCGGTGAGGGCCGAATCCACCCGTTGCTTATTAACTATAAATTGACGTCAAATTTTATAGTTTAATGACCTACCTTACAGTCATAACCTAAGATAAAATAAACTTTAATTAAAAATGTTCCAGTGATGAATATGATGAAGAATCAGGTTTGCTGCCGTCCGTCACGATGAAGATTTACAAAGGTGACCCTGAGGAAAAACAGGTAAGTTCGCTTCCTTACAAATTTAACGCCATGCTACAAATGAAAATTATAACAGGCGTAATTTTTAAAATAGCTTTTATAAATCTTTTGGTTTAAAAACATTTCATAATTACAACATTTCACAATTAACATTTTAATTTCCGGGTTTTTACTAATCTTATACGCATTCGAACCCACAGCCACAGTGCTCCGTGCTGTTGCCACCGATTGAGGAGTCGTATCAACTTCTAATAATATGGTGTAATAGTTTAATTGATTTTCCACCAGGTGGCGTCGAACGTACGGATCGGTGACACATTGACTTTGGTCGTGTCTCTTGAGAAACAGAGGAAGTACGGCCTCCTTGTGTCCGAGTGTTCTGTTAGAGACGGTCTTGGCTGGGCAGAACAGAGCTTGATCGCTGATGATGGGTATACAATGATAAGACACTTTATTTGGTATTCAGATAATAGTAGTAGATAGAAAATGAAACAGTTCAAGTTGACTTGATTATAATATTTCAACATTTTGTCGCTCAGGGAAGTGAAGGGTCCCCACATTTAGTTTGTTGATAAGATCTTTTTAGACTACCCTATCATATGTCGCTTTAAAACTATCAAATTTTATATCTTTCCTGTCACGTGTATATATTATGTATACTGTACGCACATATATATGTACAGTAAATTATCCATAAAATATACCCCGAACACCCGCATGTCTAAAATTTCATCTACGTACGAAGCAGACACATTATTGTGCCGGTTTTACTTCGATTCTATCGGCAAGTAGGTCACCGTAATTTTGTGCTCTTGCGTTCTCGGTATTATGAGCAGTTCACTAGCATATTTCCGCCTCTGTAGCTAAATGGTTAAACGTATTGCATTGCCCAGGGCAACAAAAAAAAATCAGTCGGGCAGGGCACAGAAGTCTAGATGAACTATTTGCCAGTTAAAAGAACGAATCGGTGACACTGACACAGAAATCTATTCGCCCCATGCCCCATGCCAGGCTTTCACACACACTAACATATTTCTGGTTCACTCTTGGGATCACGACAACTATTCTGCTGTTCACCTGTCACCGTTTAAGCTGGTCAATTGCCCCACCTATCACCATCCATCGCAAGTTGAAATAGCCCCAAAGATTATACTAATTTATACAGACAATAAATTTTTACTTCTAGAATAAGGTTTAACCAAGTTTTACCCTTCACTTCCAGTTGTCCATTGGACGGTGAGATAATGGGCTTGTTCCAGTACAGCACTGAAAAGCAAGAGGCAAAAGTCTCCTTCCCCGCCCACAAATTTCCCTACACTGCCAGCGTTTACTATACCTGTGAGGTCAAACTATGTGACCTCAATCATCCCACTGATTGTGTAAGTGGATTCGAGATATTGCTTTTTCCTTTTTTAATCATAGGAGTACAGCATGGGGTAACTTGATGGTAGGTAAATACATAGTATATAGCAACAAACCATGCACTGTCGACACATCGACTTTGGACATTCTGAAATTCACAGACTAAAACTGAAACGCGGTTAAACTTCACGGTTTTCATCTGTGGACGGTGGTTCGTGACTCGGGCGGAATTTCGATATTTCTACTATTCATTTAATATCCAGGTTTTGAGACGAAGTCCAACATGTTTTAAAATTATAAATTAGTTGGTCCACAAAGAAAGAGACAAAGGAACGTTCAATAAAAATAGTTTATCCTAAATGGTTTACCGTTATACAATATTGTTTTAATCCGTTGAAAGAAATCGCTTCTTGTTGACAAGGCCGCCTTTTCTCACTGCCTAACTACCTAATATTATTTTTAAATTCCTTTTTTTCATTTGTGATTTTTGTATGTTTGTTTACATTTGTAATACAATAAACAATACGCTCTGAAATAAAGAGGTAACATTTGATTTGAAGACAGAGAAAACATAGTCTATCTTAGATAAGCTAAGCTAAGTATATCTAAGTTGTCGAAATACCAAATAACAATAAAATGCCCCGGTAATTATTTCTAGGAGCCGTGTTCTCATAAGCGGCGCGTACGCCGAGACACGGACGACGGCGCACCGGCGACAGTCGAAGTGTTCTCCGGCCTCTATGTCAACGATGCGGATTCATTAGACAACGACGATGTTGTTAGCCAAAAGGTAACACACACACACACAGTAAATTCCAAATTAAATTATCTATTTCTCCTGTTTAAAGTCTAAAAAATGGTTATCATCATTAAATGAAATGTAGTTAGCTTAAATGATTCAATAACACCTAGAATGCGTTTTTTAATAATAGCCACTTCTAATAAAACACCTAACGGTTTAAAACGCGAAATATAATAGTTGCAATGAATTGTAAATAAGTAATTTATATATTTTGTGTTTTAAATAGTAAAAATTATTTTATTTAAATATGTACTAATGGCGTTAAATACAGACTATACCTATTTTTTTTTGTATTACACATTAATTGCATACCTACTATTTAGAATTTATATTATTACACATTTGTTAATGCAAAATAATAGAAATGTGTATGAATACTCTTTCCACCCTAAATGCCTCGTCCATTTTGATCCCACTCGTGGCAGAGTAGCCTAACTGCAATTTTATGGCTTACGTTATTTATATTTATATATACATAGTCTACAAATCTTAATCTACAAGAGCACAGTGACTGAAAATTGTTAACATATTTTTCACACAAATATTAGTACAAATTTACTGTCGCTAAAGTTATTTGCGTTGTTTCCTCCTTATTTAACTTATTGAAAATCATGTTTTTTGTTATTAGGACACTCTGCCTCTAGCAGCTTCTTATGTAATTCCTAACTGTAATACAGACTTCACTTCCGATTCCAGAAGGAGGATGAGATTTGCATATCCCAGCGCAACTTCGCGATCGGCATATGCGTCGCTGGAGTCATTCTCATGATCTGCGTGATCGCAGCCATCGCCTTCATATTGGCGAGAAGACGAAACCCGAAGACCTACTCGAGGACAGGAAGTTCTCTGTACAGTGGCCCTTATACGAACACGGGATACTCGCACACCAGCTAAATACATTTAACGTCTTTTAGGAAAGACCATAATATAATGAATGAAACTAATCATTCATATTCTCTACTACTTAGACGATAGACATGTGAAATTGTATACAGCGCCATCTAGTTTTGTGATTTGAAATTTAACCGAAAATAATTTTAATTACATTGTGATTTAAGTATTGTCCGTAGTTAACGTGAGTATTGAAATAAGGCAATTTTAACAGTTTTAATGCGAGATATATGAGTTACTTTGCGCATATTTCCGTTAAATAAACGTGTTATATTCGACAGTAAGTAATGTTAGGATTACAACGAAAAGTCTTCAACCGTTACACTTAGTGCCATGGGCTGTCGTGTAACTTTTGTGTTCAAACACAACGACTCAGTCATAATTTAAGTCTAGATTTAGAATAACGCACACGTGATATTTTTATCGTTATCAGCGAAACTGGGTCCAAGTCTTTTTACAATAGCATGTCGCTAGCATGTTGTTATTTGATGGTAAGTCTATTGGTTACAGCAGTAGCACGAAACACTGTGGATGTCGATTCAAGTCTCACCCGTGTTCTAAAATTATTTCTTATTATTCATACAGAGACTCGTTAATCGCAGTTTTGAGACCCTGTTTCTTGCATAGATGGTGGAAACCAAAAGTATCACGTCTGCGATAAAACCCATGATATTTATAATATGGATTATATGTGATAGTTATCCGTCCTAATTTACTTTAGTTAAGTCTCTAAAGGTGACCTTGCATTACGTAATAATTAAATGTTTCGAATAAACGTGCAGTTAATGTGATTTTTGTTAAGTGTGCTAAATATCGTTTTGAGTGAGTTTGGTTTAAGTCGAAATAAAAACCTATGAATTATATTCCGTGAAAATCATGTTCTTTTCTCGAACTACCCTCGCTCAAACCAGCGTTACTCAAAACACAATTCGATATAGCACTGTTTATTTTATTTTGCAGAAAACCGTAATTTTTTTAAAGGTGGTGGTAAACTTAGTAGCTGCCAAATGTTTTGAGTTCCTTTGGAAATATTGTTTTTTTTTCTACTCAATACTAATTTTGTATTATAACTGGGCAAACGTTTTTTTCTTATGGTTGCCATACTTTAACATTAGGAAGTAATGTAATCCGTCCACTATAGGTGCTATATTATATTAAACAGCTTCTTTTGCTTAAGTTGTGACAATAGCTGGAATAATATATATTTACTAGTTGTATAAAGCCGGGTACTCGATAGCCGAAATGTTTATAATATCTACATACTTAGTATTGAGGTTTTATTTTGTTTCGCTGTGCGCTGGGTGTAAATTTAAAAACAACGTTTTTCAAGGTTTAAAACTTGAAAGTTATAATACTTTTCTGTGTTAATCAACAATAACATTGCTTGTAGTTTTGCAATACGAACACACTGTTGATAGTTGGTAATGCGACAATGCCTATGCATTTATATGATTACGATTAGAACTCGCTAGTGAGTACCCGGCCTTTAATTCTTTTAATCTGCTAACGTCGCAAGAATCGTAATCGTATTATAGCTTGGTAGTTACAACGAATTTTGATATATGTTTCATACACTCCATTTGGTGTATACAAATGGGGTTCTGGAACTATATCGCTATTACGAATTTTTAACAAATATACTGACTAAGATATTCGTGCCTTTTATTTATATGCTCATAATTATTCCTTTATTACATCTACGCGCGAATCTCAGGAACTACTGGTTTGAATACAAAAAATATTTTTGTGTTAATGAAAGGATTTATCGAGGAAGATTACAGGCTATAAAACATAGCGCTGCGACTTAAAGAGCGAAGAAACAGCGGGAAATGTGAGAAAAGAGGGAAAATTTATTAATCCTTGTAGGTTTCCGTTGCGTACTGTTTTAGCGCACCGGGTTTTTAAAAACAAAAAGAAACGAAAATCCACTACTGGACTTAATTCCTGTTCATGAAATAATTGTCAGGGTACATACAATTCATACTAAGGGCCTCGCTCAACGATGTCTGCACTCCGTGGCGATGAAAATATAACTGTCAGAATATGTAAAAGTAATTCCTTATTAGCACTAAAGTGCAACATAGCCACTATTATAATGGAAAATTTTAATTATTACACGTGTGCAGCGTCATCAAAGGAACAGTGGAATAAATGATCTAAAAATGTCCGCACAGTATATGCCTTTCTTTTAAGATTAACTTGCAAGAAGGACGGGACGCGGGTGACGCAACGTCGTCGTCGTAATTTAAATTAAACACTTTTAACTGGTTAAAATGCAAAATATATCAGTTAACTGGAGAACCCGTGACCACGGCTGCTGGAAAGCATCCGAAACGTTGGGCCGAAATTAAATATAATTTTCAAATGAGTTTAACTAATACATATCGCGTTTTAAACCGTTTAAATGTTTTATTGAAATCATGCAATCAACCAATCAATTGTTCATTTGAAAGACAATGAACAGTTTTAACTTACAATTTGGATCTATTTAAAATTGGGCAACTTCGTATGTATATCTTTAATTACGACAACTGATTAATCAGTCCGTTTAAATCCCAATTATCGATTGGACGATAACAAATCGACATAATAAATCAGAAATACGTTATCTTACAAAGTTTAACCTAGATAATATACAATCGCAAATGGGACTAGAACGTGACTTACAATTAAAAAACTACATCATTCACCTTCAAAATGTGGCTGCTAGTGGTCGCATTCCTCTTAATCGCCTTCTACTACTACGGGACGAGGAATTTCGACTACTGGAAGAAGCGCGGCATAAAGTATGACGAGCCTATCATCTTCTTCGGCAGCAACCTCACGCACATCATCAAGAGGCACAGCCTGTCCGAGAGATTCGCCGAACTGCACAACCGATTCCCCAATGAAAAATTCGTCGGCTACTTCGAGTCGAATAACCCGGCGCTATTGATCAGAGACCCGGATATGATCAAAGCGGTCCTGGTGACGGACTTCAAGCATTTCTACCGTCGCGGCGTGAGCCCGCACACCAATGACATCGAGCCGCTGATGAAGAACCTCTTCACGGTGGACGGAGACGCGTGGAAACTCCTCAGACAGAGGATGACATCAGCCTTTTCCAGCGCAAAGCTTAAAGCCATGTTTCCGCTGATCGTAGAGAGAACAGAGAAGCTGATAAAAATCGTCGATCAAATAGCTGAAACCGGAGAGGAAGTCGACGTTAGGAACTTAATGGCCCGATACACGACGGACTTCATCGGCGCCTGCGGCTTTGGAATTGACTCTAAAACACTGGACGACGACAACAATGACTTCAGACAGCTCGGCAGACGCATCTTTACGATTACTAAACGCGACATCGTGGTTAACGTTCTGAAGCGCACGTTCCCCAATGTGGATTTGTTCAGGTACCTCCACTTTTTCCCGGAAGAAGTCGAAAGAAAGAATCTGTCGCTAGTCCAACAGATCATGTCCCAGAGGAACTACAAGCCGTCAGGTAGAAACGACTTCGTCGATATGATGCTCGAGTTGAAACAGAAGGGCAAAATGGTGGGAGAATCGATAGAAAAGAGAAACCCAGACGGATCTCCCAAGATTATTGAGTTGGAATTGGACGACGTTTTGATAGCGGCTCAGGTGTTCGTATTCTTCGCTGCCGGTTTTGAAACGTCCTCGTCGTCGAGTAGTTTTCTGCTACATCTCCTGGCTTTCCATCCGGAGGAACAGGAACTGGTACAAAAGGAAATCGATGAGGTGATTGCCAGATACGACGGAAAACTTTGCTACGATGCCGTGAAGGATATGAAGTATTTGGAAATGGCATTTAAGTGAGTAGTTGCTCGTCCGTTTTTTTACCCATCACAATGCCTAATTTTTGTAAGGATGTCCTGCTCTATCGTTAAAAATACTGAGCTTATTAATTATATTTGCAATAAGGTCATTTAGTCTATACATTTTACCGAAAAGAAACATGGCTAAAATTAAAACTGAAAATCTAACACGGAAATATACACTTAAAAAAAGTCGATTTTAACCGTATTTGAGAAAAAAATTGTGTAATGTACTTTACCCCAAATTACAGAGAGAGCAACCGCGTCTTCGCATCCCCCGGTTTCCTGATCCGGAAAACAGTTGGCAGATACACCTTCCCAGGCACGAACCTCACGATAGAAGACAGAACTGGAGTCGTCATCTCAACCCAGGCGTTGTACGCAGATGAGAAGTACTTCGAGGACCCTGAAAGCTTCAAGCCCATGAGATTCCACCCTGATAACGTGGATAAGATGAATAGGAATGTATTTCTACCTTTTGGTGATGGACCACGAGCGTGTATAGGTAAGTTTACTCTAAGTACACTAAACTAAAGAAAATAGGAAGTCTAAGGTTTATGTTTTTTTTTAAGCATTAACCTAAATTTTAAGAATTCTCAACTAATTTCGTGTAATTAAAATCTTGACCAAGATAAAAAAAAACTCTTGCCTGAAGTTCTAACTAGTACATATTCAAATAAAACACTTTTAACGGTTTGAACCATGAAATATATTTCTCAATTTTTTAGTAATATTAGCATTTCCAGCCTATATTTGTCATTCGTGAAAATAAGTTCAAGAATATATTTAGCATTTTAAACCGTTAAAAGCGTTTTAATCAAAATTCATGAGATAGATGAATAATAGCTGCGATGTCTTTATAATGATTCTATAGAATAAACTGACTCTAAAAACGGTATTGAGCTATTAACCACAGCAACGAACCAAGCCAACAAAAATATTTAAACATTACTTACGCATCTTAACTTTTTATCACGTATCAAAGCTGCATTGAGGGCCTGTCAGGGCTTCGTGGTATTTTGATTTTTGATTAATTAAATATGACATAAATTAAAAATGAAACACGGTAATTCAAACATTTGTCAATGAATTTCTAAGGGAGAATATAAAAAACAATTACAGGTGAACGCCTAGGGATAATGCAAGCTTTGGCTGGCGTCGCTGCTGTCCTCCACAATTTCTCCGTGGTCCCATCGAAGAGCACGAAGCGTTATCCACCGATAGACCCCACGTCCACACTCATTCAAAACGTACTTGGTGGGTTGCCATTGTCGCTGCAGAAGAGGAAGAAGGTTCAGTAAAAGCGAACAGATTCCGCGTGTGAAAGTGTGTAAAACCTAATTTTATCCCATAATCTAACTTAGTTATTTATTATTTAAAAATATTTAAGAACGTATGGTTGTACCATCAAATTTGTTAATATAAATAAAATACATTGAAACTAAAGAGATAATTATTTTTGCGAATCTATACTAATTACTAATATTATAAATGCGAAAGTAACTCTATCTGTCTGTTTGTCCGGCTTTAGCGCCTAATTTACTGAACAGATTTTAATGAAATTTGGTACACAGTTATTCTAGAGCCTGACAAAGGATATAGACTAATATACTTTTTAATGCCTAAGGGTTGTTAGGGGCTGAAAAGGGGGATGAAATTCGTGATTTTTAAGGAAGGAATTAAACTTTCTTTGGCTTCTTGGGAATGGGAGTGATTGTAGGAGTGGGAGTTAGAGTAGGAGTGATGTGAGGTGAGAGTGGGAGTGTTACGGCAAAGTACCACTTACAATACAGATTGGCTGCATTGAATGCGCCTTTTCGATGACATGCATTGTAAAACCTTTTGCAGTAGGAAAAACAGGTAGTAAGGGGTTGAATGAGAGCTGAAAAGTTGTGTGGATGTATCGTAATACATTTTTATAGAACTAATAATATAAATGCGACAGTAACTCTGAAACACTGTAACACTGTATTTACACATGTGCCTTATTAAATTTATAAAAAAAAAATTAAAAATTCTACCCAAAGTCACGATTCCACGCGGACAAAGTCGCGGCTACAGATAGTATGCATATAAAAACAATATTATATAATTTTACACATTAAGAAATGAACTAGTCATAATATGTCAATTCCTGGGTAGTATAGAATATTTATATAAGTAAGTACCTACCTAGGTTTTATAAATATTATCTTTTAAAATACCTATATGTTCGAGTCTTGTAACAATATAGATTAATTAGTAAGTAGGATATGACGTTGGTAATTACAGCGATAGGCTGTCTGATTTCAACTACCATATCCGAAATTCTACCTAAATATCGCGGGTTCGATTATTATCGTAATCTAATCTTTAGATTTACATAATGTGCACTTATATGCAAATGTACTTATAAATAAATGAATACAAATAGTACAGATATTTATATAATAGAGAAGAACAGTCAACCATGGTTCCCTTGATGGAAGATAAATACGCCACCTACATAAGTATAACATCGAAGTGAGTTGCGCTGTCGACTTATTTCCGCTTCGTATATTCGGAAATACACAAACTGAATGGTTCCATTACACCAACGACCCCGTTAATATGACTGTGGTGCCGTAGTCGAAACTCAGTCTTTGATAACTGGCTAGAAAGGAAGGATAGAAGCCAAGGCTATAGGGTTATCTTGATGAAAGGCGAAATACCCCCATCATATAACTTCTCAACTAGATGCGTTGTTGGCTTTGGATATTCGGAAATCCGAAAATCATGGTCAATTTAAAATAGTCTAATTTTAAAATAACTTTGGATGTATTAAAATATATATGTGTAGGTACACTATCTATTTCAGTGAATCCAAAGTTCGGAACCTTGAAATAAAAAATTGATTAGATAAATGTTGAATTGCATCTTCTACGACAAAGTAATCAATTAATTACAGCTGATTAAATGTTATGAATTAAATTAACCTATACTAATATATAAAGCTGAAGAGTTTGTTTGAACGCGCTAATCATAGTAACTACTTGTTCGAATTGAAACATTATTTGTGTCGGTTAGAGCATTTATCGTGGAAGGTTATAGGCTATAACACATTGTTCCGTGACTAACAGGAGCGAAGATACAGCGGGAAATGTGAAAAAAAGGGGGGGAAATTTGTCTCTGTGGCTTTGTACGTTGTAGATGCGTACGCTGCGAAAACTAAATTAAAAAATAAATTGCAAAGCTAGGTTAGCGGGGTTTCGAGCTGTGCGGTCGTCGTGATTAAGAAATGGCTCTCGACGTTTCTCAGATCAGTTGTCGCTTGAATAAATATTAATGGGGTCATAGAATATATAGAATAACTCGATAAAAAACGTTCTTATATTTTTTTCTTTATTTTTACACTAATAATACTGGTGTATATAAACATTTATACGCTACAAAAAAAACAGAAAAAGATTTATATAAAACAAAACAGAACTATATAGATCTCTATTTTTGGCCCGGAAAAGCTAATCAACTACTTAAAACTACTAAACTACTACTTCTTACTACTATAAACTACTTTGAGTATATAAAGTGATTTCACTGTCCATCTGTGGTATAAGAAATACTTTTTTCTCGTTTCGTAATCGAATCGATTATACAATTGCTGTGCGATGAGGATTATTTTTCATAAGTAACGAAGTTACAGTAAAACGGACATATATCAGTGTCCGTTTTAAATTTTCAAACGATTTCATTTACAGGCAAGCAGATTTCTGTGTGATTATCGTTTCCCTAGTATTACAACTCACTCTCTCTCTCACTCTCTTGCACTCAATGTAAAATTGCTATAATCTTCGGAAACATGTTTACTTAACCACTGAGGTAGGTAGGCGGCAGAACAACAACGATAAGACCATAATTATTTTTGATTAATTAAATCTACAGACAGGTGTTTACAGCAGTTAATATGTTTATAGATTTAATTACCACATGCAAATTGTAAAAAAGTAAGATAAAATGCGGAGAGAAAAAAGTTTTCTCGATATAGTGTTGATATAAAGTGATGAAACAAAAACTAATATACAAATAGATAATAGACAAATAAATAATACCGGTACGCAAAACCGGTCCAATTGCCTTCGTAAACCGATTCTTCAAACAATCGATGAAGAAAATAACATACTTTTTACAACTTTGTGACCTTGATGAATAATAAATTTGACAAGAATGAACTAACACCGTGTATATACATATATCACAACCTTGCTTTATAACGATCACACAATTAACGTAACATTTGTTTGTTTGTAAGACTCTTACACTTTAATACACGACGTTATTCTAACACGTAATATCAAGACAAATGATCCAAAACAAACAAAACACACCTATAACAAAGGTGGGGTACAAACCAATGATGACAGTGCTCGTGTTGAGGATCATCCATCTAGGATATGGTGTGCATGGCAAAAGATTTCCTGTGTATTAATTGAATTTCCTAAATCATTAATTGGACGGAATTGCACTGCCATAGTCGAGTTGGCGACTTGTTTAATTTGATTAATTATAAAAAAGGACACTTAAATCTTAACTATCAGTCTATCAATTGAATAAAAATCAGTCTATTCAATGGATTGTGGATCTACCACAACTGTAGAATTTATAGGGCCTCTTCTTGATATTAACTCGTCTTGGCCTAAAACCTACCTATGAAATAATTTCAAACAAAAGATCACAAACTCCGGCAGACAAACTGAAATAGTTATCACAAATGTATTTGAAGGAGTTTTTATCTACAACCGCGGAGAACGTCATTTGGTCATCGTATTGTGTAATCTGTTGCACCTCCCAACTGCCAACGTCAACGTCGTGATATAACTTGAGCAAGGCTAAAACTGATTTGCAACTACCCCCAAAAACTTTTGCGGATACCCTCACTATGTGTGATCCAGTGACGTCATATTTGACTATTTGGTAACAGGTTAAGACATTTTTAAGGAACTCGTAACTTTTATCGTCATAGCAACTGTAGATCAAACTGTCATCGTGAACGCCGTGACATTTTAAACGTGGCAATGATTTCGGATTAAGCTCTTTCGCTATTGACTTTTGAACATTTTTTGCGATTTGAGCCGTCATCTTTTCGCCTGTCTTCCTAGTTATTCTAACGTTCGTACACGAATTCGAAGGACTGGTCATTTTGGTATTGTTTATTTTGAGGCTGAAATTAAATTTGGACGGATATTCGTTTTCGTGGAATTGTTGAGAGTCATTCTTATTTGTAAACTCGAATATTGTTGCTGCCTTCTCTTTGACGGAACGTTCCTTGTGTTCCACGCTACCGTTTTGTGCGACATTTACTGCTGGTCGTGACAAAGTCTCATCGGCGTCGTCTTCATCGCTATCGCTACTCTCTACTTCTGACATTTGATCAGGCGTTGCAATGACTGAACTGCCATCATCGCGGGACACTTTACGTAAAGTAAAGCTTCTGAAAATAAATATGTATTTTAATCATCTAAAATGAAAAAAGGACAATAACATGCATTGTTCACTTTTGCAGACGGAAAATGTGTTTGTTTAGTTTTAATAGGCATAGGTTAAGTTACCTATTCTCAATTACTATGGCTGAGCTGCTCGAAAATCCAAACAACAAAGCATAACAAACTAGAATTTCAAAAGCTTGAAGACTAATTTCTTTTTAATAGTGTAAATAAAATATTATTTACTATATTTATACTTTAGTTTACGGAAGTAGTATTTTTAAACACTTAACAGTTTAAAACGCGAAATACATTAGTTTAGTTTTCTTTTATTTTTACTATAGCCCGTTTCATTTATAATTTAATATATTTTGCCTTCTAAAGCCGTTAAAGGGGTTTTATTTAAAATATTTACCTAATCGCATCCACAAATTAGACCTAAACGTAAAGTATATATATGATAGTTTTCTATGCCCACACAAAAATATATCTGACTTCCTTTGAGTACTAGAGACGAAATTTAATTGACTTGGGGTTGGTAAGGATAGGTCTAGTGGTAGCATTGTGTGTGTGGGTCGTGGGTTTGATTCTTACCGTGCCAAACATGTTTCTATTGCATTTATAATTTTTCTGAAACATGTTGATTTCCTTTGGATATCTAAATATTAAATGGATGGAAGGAATATCGAAATGACGTCCGGGTCACAAACTACTATCCACCGAAGAAAAAACCGTAATGTTAATCGGTTTCAGTCTGTGAGTTTCTTAATATCCGAAATAGTTCGACAGCATATCTCGTTTACACGTTATATGGCTTGGGTATTTCCCGTCCCTCTCTATCGTAAAAATGATTTTTAACATTAGGGTAGAACTTACTTAGTTTTAATGCTAGGTATAACACAGTGATCCTTAAACCGCGAGATCTCCAGCCAAACACAGGTTTCTATACTATACGCGAACTTTTCGGCCTTCCCCCTATTTATGGACCTACACAACAACTTCAGGTAACGTTTACTCTTGCTTTGCATTCTGCAATCGATATTCACGGATTCCCTGCTACCCTCCAAAAGGTCCAAGCAAGATATCATCAGAAAGAGTCGTTTCTTCAATTTGTTCAATGCCTTCTTCGATATCTTCTGTTCCCTGGGTGTGAGTAGCGATACGATGTCTTCGTCTGTGGTATTGTGGCCTTCAGATTTGGGACACGATTGGTCTGGATAGATCGATAGGCTTCTTTTTATGCTGTCAGTGATTTCCCTGACGCGACTTGGTCGACTAGCCTGACTGGGCGTTTGTTTAGTTCGGTCTTTGCTACTTTTTGATGTTTCCGAATTTCCCCCTTTCACATGACCGAATCCAGCTTTGCGGACCTGGTATTTTAAGACAAAAAATGTTTATAATACACATTGTAAGGGTTGCATGGGGTTTGTAGTGTACGCGAGTAGTACACATTTGAATAAAACACTTTTAACGGTTTAACACGCAAAATATATTAGGTTCTTAGTTAAAGTTTACTTTAACTACGGTCCGAAGTTTCGAATGCAGTGCAACAGCCATGGTCATGAGGGGACACATACATTTTGCGTTTCGAACTGTTAAAAGCGTTTCATTCAAATTATGTATAATGTTTTTGAATAAAATATTTACAAGATCGACTCGGGGCATTATAGGTTCCTTGATTCCGTCTTCGCGCACGCCCAGAGCACCTCCGCCCCAACCCATGGCGTGCATCATTCTGAAACATGAACAAAATTGAGGTATTTTATTTCAGATGGCAGAAATGTGATTCTCTACTCGCCATATGCTAGGCGAGATAATTCTCAACGGCAACGCGAAATATATTAACTAATTATAACTAATGGCGGGTGTAGTTAAACTAAATTAAAATTAAGTATCATATTTTGGGTATTAAACCATTAGAATACTTAAACATAAGGAAACATGGAGTTCGTACGACGGCAAGTAAAGTACTCTTATAATGAAGATGTAATTAAATGCGCGGTTGACCTATGTTGACTTTTCACGTTCATAAATCCTGAAATTGCACTTTACGATAATCATTGGATGGTGGATTGGTGGTACGTGACCCAGGCAAAACCTTGATATATCCACCAACTATTTAACATCGTCGAGGATCCAAAATGGAATTTTAAAATATGATGCTCCCGGTCGGAGTCGAACCCACAGCCGGTTGTTCAATAACCATTGAACCAACTAGAACGAAAACAATACAAATAAAAAAACAAACAAACCTAAGCCCTATAGCGCTTTCGATAGGAGTGGACAGGCCTTCAATTAATTTAGCTTCTCTTTCCGGTAACTTTCTCGCGTCTATCGCACTTTTGTTAGGAGTTGTACTGGAACAAATATGATTGTAAAAGAAATGTAAAATCAAATCATTTATTCATGTAGGTAGCTAGGTACAATTTAGAACGTCAAAACATTTAAATAAAACACTTTAACTGTTTAAAACCAGATGTATATTTGTTAAACTTATTTGGAAATATTTTTAACTTCTCCCGTGACCACGGCTGCTGCAAAGCATCTGAAACGTCGGGCCGAATTTTAAAATCATTTTAAATAAGTTTAACTAATATATCGCGTTTTAAACCGTTAAAGCGTTTTATTTAAATGTGTACTACTCGCGTAAATTATAGACCGTATTTGACTGTGACTTTTAACGCTTGGAAAGCAGATGTGCAAAAATTATTGGTTATTGCTATCATTATTGTTGCATTATGTATATGTTTGTTATGGTATATCGATCTTGGAATTATATTACTTTAATAAATTTCCCTCTTTTTCTTCAGCAGGAACTGGTACCGATCTCTTATGTACATTTATTTATTATCTATATTATTATTAATTTTATGCACACAATTTAGTTATTAGTTTGTTAATGTATGGCAATAAAAAATTTTCGTCAAACAAAATGACGCAGTAAAATGCTTCAAATAGGGGTAAAAGATCTGAATACCTGGGTTTAATTTTTTTAGGATGTTCTTCAATTTGTGACTTTATACGTTTGTCCACATTCTCTACATCTGCCTTGGAGCCAATTGCTATGGTGACTGGCTGCATCTGGTCATTAACTTCTTGCAATGGCATCTTTTTCTCCGGTTCGAACGTTCTGGAGAAGCAATTTGTGTGTGAAATAGTGACATCAGACTTTACTAAAAATGGTTAGATAACTAAATTGTTGGATAACTTTTTTTTTTAAATATAGAGAAGGATAGACAAGCATAGGATGGAAACACTTGATGGAAGGAGGTATACCCCGGCCGTATAATATCTAAACAAGATGGACTGTCGACCACAGACTGACACCGAGACGAGATTAAACTTAACAGCTTTTTCATCTGTGGTAAGAGACCCGTACGTCAATTTGATATTTCTACCAGACATTTGATATCCAGGTTTCCAGGCGAAGTTCAGCATGTTTCAGAAAAATTATAAATTGGAAAATTAGAAAAATGTTAGACTAGGTGGGGATCGAACCCAAGACCCGTTGATTATTGGCGATACATTGCTACCATTAGACCAACAACCCCGTCAAAAACTCCACATCTTACTCCCCTTTTTTCCCTATTAACTCATTTGTACAGACTCTACGTCGCTGAGCGGACATATCTATAATAGAACGATGGTGAATGAAAAGTACTAACATATTTTTTGAGTTCTTCTGGTTGCTGCTAGCATCTTGTTTGACTGATAAACGTGATAAGAGGTTTTCAATGCTTTCATTAGTAACTGAATTAACATTTCCTTTTTTCGATTTTCTGAAATGGAAATGGCCATAATTGAGATAAATTAAGATACAAGACATAAGTAAGTTAATAAGAACTATATATTTAAGCAAATCTATTAATGTAAATACTGGCTAAGGTGGTCCGATGACGAAGATGTGTACTTACTTCTTTTTATTTGATAGCCTCGGTACTTTTTTCAGTGTCACACACCTAAAAAAATTTTCAACAAAGTATAACGAATTTATTAGTAGTATTTTACAAAGTTTATATCTATTCAGCTTTATATATTAGATATTCGATATAAAGCTGAAGTCTGTTTGTTAGAAAATGTCGCACTAATCTTAGGTAGTTACTGATTCAAATTGAAAAATTCTTTTTGTGTTGGTTACATCATTTATCGTGGAAGGCTATAGGCTATAAAACAACGCGCTGTAACTAATAGGAACGAAGAACCTGCGAGGAAGTAAAAACATTGAATATTCTTATCATTGTGGGATTCCACTGCGTATGTGAAAGAATGATTCCTCTTTAAAAGACCCAAAAAAAATGTCCGCGACTTTATATCATTATCTTTAAAGATTAACTTGCAAGAACGACGGGAAAGGACGCGAACGTCGTGGGTAACAGCTTAAGTTTATAAAGATGAAGGGGTTTGCAAAAACGAATTTGGATGCCCAAAATAACTATTCTACGCGGACGAAGTCGCTGGCACAGCGAGTTTATTATAACCGAGGTATGTCAAATAAAAACCCGACTTATGTCATTTCATGTTTCACGCGTGGGGTAGTAAATTTCATAGCTTAGTTATTTCATGTTGAACCAGAGCAGTATATCGGTGAAATGCGTCATAACATCTATCGACTAAAACCTGACAATCCATTAGGTAAGTAGATCTATTTAGATCGAAAAAAAATTACGACTAGGGCGGGACTTGAACCGGCATCCACAACGTTCCGTGCTGCCGTAACCAATTGAATTAGCGAGCCCTACGGGCCATCGTCTAAATTTTTGCAACCTATTGATACATGCACCTCTCGCGTAATACATTCAAGTTAATAAAGTTATAAAAGGTTAAAAGTTTGATAGACTTCATACATTTAGACTTGGTTTATTTTCGAAAGCCAAAAAGATATAGAAAAAGCTTTAGAACATACAGTCGACTTTCGTTAATTCCAACCTGCGATAATTCGAAGTTAGCACGAGTACCCAACAAAATCTGTTTAAATTTCGAACTACATCAATACATTTTTATGCACTTGGTAATTCGACGTTGTATTTATTTTCTCTCACAAATTTCGAACCATTGGATATTTCAAACATTCGATAGTTCGTAATATTTTAAGAGTCCCTCAAGTTTTGAATTAACCAGTGTAGACTGTATATGAAATGAGTAACGTGCGTATGCGTAAGAGCATATATAAATTCTATCACAATAATATAATATGTATCTTTTAAAAAGGATAGTCTTTGAACCTGATTTGACCTTTCTGATGTCATACGATCCACGGTAGTGTCAGACACAATCTGAAATTGATGTCTGCTGTCCAATTCGTTCTTAATTTTCCACAACAAATTACGACACATCGGTGAAAATAGGTCGTTGAATAACATTTGCTGCTTCAAAATGGCTGAAAGTTAAATTTCTATAAGAATATAAGTAACAAGCCAGTTTTGATACATTTTTGAAATATTGTTGATCATATTCTAATTTACTTTATTTCTCAGACTACGCCAAAATAAGTGTGCTGTCTAACCAACACACATTTGGTTGGGTTAATTCAATTATAATAAATATATATTTTAACATCAAGAAAAACACAGACCAAGGCAGAGTTAGCCTTGCACAAGAGTTATAATAATTAGAAATTTTTTAACATAATTAATGACTGCTAAAGTTTAATCAAGTATTCTGTGATTATTGCATATGCTTTTTGTAATTTTTAATAGATGAGCAATAAATAATAATATAATAGGCAAAAACTTTGACCACTAAGAGAATTCTAATTTTACCATTTGGGAATTCTAAAAAAAATACTCACTACAGAATTTTTTTATAAACCGTGCTTCATCTTTTGTTAATTTATTAAATATCAGACTGGCTTCGCTCTCCTGCTGTATAAACTTAACTACACTGCCCAAAGTGTTCTTAATGAAACGGGAAGAAATGGCAGCTGTTATCTTCTTTATTTGGTTACGTTTCTTCAGCTCACTCGAGCTATATAACAACAAAGTTGTGCCAAACCTGTGTCATAAATTACAAATTATATCTTTAGTTCTCAAGTACGTCAATTCACTGTTAATTTTTGACCAACTGCTTTGATTTTTCAATTTGAATCAATATAATAATTAATAATTCTTAGTCAATAAAATTAATTCATTTTTACTAGGTAAGATAAAAAATTACCCCTTTTTAAGGGTGCCTTTAAAGAGTGGCCCCTTCTCAAATGTCAAGCATCTGAAAAACATATCCAATTTTTAGGGTAGTTTATTTATTTTTAGGATAGTCTATGAATAGTGAGTTAATAAAAAAAATACTTTTACAATTTACAACAATTCAATAAGAGTTAGAATAAACTTACTTCTCTATTTCTGAACGCCCCATGCTTATTTTTAACTTATCTTTTATCTGAAATATATGTTGTTATATTAATGTTTAATTGTGTTTAAGTAACCATTAATAAAAGATTTATAATAAGTACAAGTATTGATCAACAAACTTTCATATTTCTTATCATTCAGTAAGATCAAGTTTAATACAGTTTGGGTATGATTGACAAACTTCTTTACGTTACCTGCGAAATCCCCTGCAATTTACAATTTTACTGAATTCTTTTGCCACCAAAGACACCAATTAACATTGGAAATCTGAAATCACTAGGAGTAGGATACAGCCGCGTGAGCCGGGCAATAATTTCAAATATTAAAATGACAATTCTTCACTATCAAACAAATTTGGGGCTTTAATCGAAATCGATCGATGAAAGGATTTTCTGATATGTTAATAATAATTAATATGAATATAACATATTAATATTATAACAAATAATATATATAATAATTATTATACATTTTAAACATAGTTTTAGATATAGCGATGTTTAAAATATATAATAACAAGTTTTTATTTAAATATTAAATTGTAATATTGGATTATTCGAATTACATACTATGTAAATTGTCAAAATGTCTCGTATCTCAAACATATGTCAAAATTTAAAAATGACACAACCAATATTAAATTTAACCATGCATATGAATTAATAACACTTTTATTGAAATTTGAAATAAAGTATGCAGCGATGCGTTATTAATTATTATAGATTCAAATAAGTTTATTCCAAATGTGTTTCCAAAACCTTGCTATCGGAAATCGCTATCGCAATTGAATATCACTTAATTAGCTGCAATAATCACCTCGTTTCGATATTATTTCAATATGTCTTGGGATATTGATAGATACAGAGAGGAACACGAAAGCGAAGAGCATTGGCAATTAAGAAGAGAATTTATGGAGAGGTGGAAAAATGAATACTCAGAAGAAAGGTTGGTTTGCCTGGCGCAAGTTTTCGCTAATATTGAGTTTTTGGGCTGCCGGTATCCTATAGAAACTATGCAGGACATAGCGAGACTGTCACACGATGTAAGTAGCTGCTATATTTTTATTATTACAAGTGTATGTATCCAGGACCTAACACTCAATTCCATAGTGTTATTCTTTGCCTAGAATGCATTTTTAAATAAAACACTTTAACGGTTTAAAACGCGATATACACCGGGAGACGACGTGATCACGGCTGCTGCCAAGCATCCGAAACGTCGGGCCGAAGTTAAAAATCATTTTCAAATAAGTTTAACTAATATATCGCGTTTTAAACCGTTAAAGTGTTTTATTCAAATGTGTACTACTTGTGTAAACTGTAGACAGTATAGAATGCATTTTTTCAGTATGCAATTGTACAGCAAATAATTAATGTTAACACAATTGTTGGTGTTAGGCAAAAATATATAAGTTACATTAGTCAAATATGCTATATATTAATACATTCTATGATATTGTAATTGCAGATAGCAAAGGACTATCGGAGTGAAAAGAGAAGTAAGTTGCAAAGGACTTTTGTTTCGGCATCCGATGCTGCAGAAGATCGAGCTAAAGGGATCAAAAGAGAAGGTGGTGTTATCAAAGCTGCTCCAAATGCGAAGTCTCAGAAAATAGACTTTGTCAAACAGGGAGAGATTGTTGATATTCAAGAGACATCTGATGAAATTATTGAAGTACCAGGCTCTGATGATGAAAAACATTCAGAGAATGCTACAATTAATGTGACTGAGTGTAGCAACGAAGTTGATGAGAAATTGTGTTATAAATCTAATAAAGTTCTTAGTAATAGATATCTAGAAGAAATGTCGAACATGAGTTGCTTAAACATTGAGCTTTTTAGAAAGAGTATGTTTAATACATCATTTGGCAAATTTGTACTGATAGTCCGAACATGGATACCGAAAATAAATAACATACAATGTAAGTGATTAGTGCATTATTTTAGCCTTTTGCTAACCCCTAAGTTGAATGGTTTGATGCCTTGCTGAGCATTACAGTCTATTTTGAGAGGTTCATATTAGAATTTTAGGAAAGGATTTGGTTGTTCATGACACAAAAGTTTCATTAATTTCTTTCATATGGATGTGTACATAAATAGATAAGAGTATAATGACAGATTGATAGATTTTATTGTTTTTTCCATTGAAGGACACACTAAAGATTGATGGATTCCTGCCCATCCCTACCTTGACTAAATATCTTTGAGCACTAAAAATTCAAAAAATGGCAATATGCATATATTTAAATAGTTTTTATTTATAAGTGCTATTCTCATTCATTATATATCAGGTTTTTATCATTACGATTTTCACAATAATATTTTTTTTTACATTATTTGTGTATATTTAAATCCATTTAGTAATTTGCTATTTTCAGCATATCATTGTTTTCCGGGCCGTTCGGCTGACGTGGCCGAGAAGCGGTTCTTGACATTCCCCATCAAAAGGAGGAGGAGATGTTAGCTCCTCACCGAACAGCTCGAAAAATAATAATATGCTGAGCGATGGCCGTGAAAGCCTTACACAATTTATTGCAATTTTAAATTTACCAAAATGAGTCATGTACCCTCAATCTTCTAGAAACAGAAAGAACTGGATTCCTGGAATATGAACATTTTTGCTGACATCATTTCAAATAGTATTTATAATTAATAATATTCTTTTAGTAGTTCCTAATGTTTTTAATGTTATTTTAGATAGTTGTGACTCCTGTAAACTACGACTGGATACACAGTATGAAGATAATATCATGACACTGACACTAAACGGAAAGCAATTAGCCCAGGCGTCTGGTTCAACCAAGGGGTCAGCCAAAAATAATATTGAAAAAGTAGCTTGGAATGTATGTACGATGTAAGAGTTGAATTGCATTGCCAGACTTGTATAAGATATACTATCTATATATTGCACATAAAAAGTCCCATGTTTGGCAGTCCCATATAAATTTTTTATGATAATTCCGAATTGACGAAACATAATTTTAAAACAGAAATGTCAAAGACCTCAAAGTGTAGTGAAAATTACAATTATAGTTGTACCTCATTTAATTTAAAACTGAGACAGAGACGGCTGCTGCAAAGCATCCAAAACATTGGGTCGAAGTTAAATAATTCTCGAATAAGGTTAACTAATGAGACAACTGGAAGAAGTTGGAAGAGGCAAACGGATATACCGGTTGTCGGCTAACGCAAACATAATTATTGTAACTGTAATACTGTCCGAAATAAAGGCCTAAAATTTAAAAGTTATACTCAGATTCTTCAATGTTTTATTTAAATTTAAGTTCATTTTTTTCCATAGTTCACGTGTGACAAGCCTGGGATACAGTACACGGTTGTATACGATGAATTTAAAAATTTCAGAGACTAATCGAGGAATCCATTTGCCTCCTTATAAAGGAGCGGTGGATAGCTCAAGAGGATAGACAGATATCTATGTGCGATGTATCGGGAAGGAAGGCGAGTATTGAGACTTTCGGGACTCCTATTGAGAGCACTGTCGCCACGAAGTAAGTGTTAAGTCTGTAGTTTACGAGAGTAGGACATATTTGAATAAAATATTTGAACGGTTTATAACATAAAATATTGCAATAAGTTGCCTTGTTTACAATTTATTGTAACTATTGCCCTAGTTAGTCCTCCTTGAATACATTCCGCGTTTTAAACCGTTAAAAGTGTTTTATTTGTAGTGGAGCTTTGTCGAATTTTTCGATAGTAATTTAATGTCTATTTGCAAATAATTGAGCGTAAGTTTAGTTTCCCTTTAGCAAATTGATAAGTTATATTAAAAATCTATTTGAACAATAATACGTGACATTCAAATGACCTCCATAGCTATGCTGCTGCTTTAAGCAACCGTGTCTCACAAGTCATACTTGAATCCATAGACAATTTGAGCCATAAAAGGCTTTTGGCTTACTATCTGGCATTTTCCTCTTTCAGAATGATGAAGCTGATGGGGTGGAAAGGTGGCGGCTTAGGGGCTAATGCACAGGGGATCGATGAACCAATAAAGCCTAAGTTGCAAATGGTAATCTATTTAAATACTGTCTATAGTTTACGCGAGTAGTACACATTTAAATAAAACACTTCTCCGCGGTCACGGTCTCCCCGTGACCACGGCTGCTGCAAAGCATCCGAAACGTCGGGCCGAAGTTAAAAATCATTTTCAAATAAGTTTAACTAATATATCGCGTTTTAAACCGTTAAAGTGTTTTATTTAAAGGTAATCTATTTCTTGTATGATCTCATTGAATACTAGCTGTCAGTGACTTCGTCCTCGAGAATCGTTATTTTGGGTATTGTGCGTTAGTACTAGCTGTGCCTAACTTTGTCCATGTCGAATAGTTATTTTAGGTATTCAAATTTACTTTTTCAAACATTCTCCTCCTCTTCATAAAATATAGTTGTCACACACGACGTCGTCCCGTGTCCCAAGGTTCTTGCGAGTTAATCTTAATGTTTTTTTATTCAAAGGGGGCTATCATGAAGAATGATTCTTAAATATTTATTTCATACACATTTTTTGGTTTCTCGAACCGTTTTGGCAACGAACACAACGGAAGCCCTGCATGATGAAAAACTTTCCCCGTTTTTTTTTTACATTTTCCACTATTTTCTCGCAGTGTATTGTTTTATTGCCACTCTCGATTAATACTCTATCCAACACAAAAAAATCGAATCTGAGAATGGCGCGTTCACCTTTTTGATGTAACTCAATTCAGTCTTAAATACATATTCTTACATATAAAGGTAAACCGTGCCGGTCTCGGGAGCAAGTCTTTGAATATGTCGCAACTTCGTCGCAAAGGCATGGAGCTGATGAAGAGGTTTTTCGCCTCCGACGAGCTGGACGTAGATCTGGTGTTCAGTAATGAGTTCAGCAGCGATGAGCGGAGTGTTCTCCACTTGTGCGCTAAACGGGCCGGTTTGGCTTCGAAGAGTTATGGCGCTGAAGCTGAAAGGTATATCGGATTTTTGCTTGTTGAAATGCAAAATGACAATTTTTATGATAGAGGACAGATAATTATGGGGTTCACTTGATGGAAGGAAATACTCCAGCCTTATAACATCTTCACAAGATGCATTGTCGACCTATTTGGACTTAGATATATGAATTACTATGCAATGAAGCTATGCAAATTATTCAAATATCATTTTTTACATTATTCAAGGAGGAATAATGTAAAAAATGATATTTGTAATCTTGAGCCTTTTTCGCGGCAAACGCAACGGCAATCCTCAACCCTAAGATGGAAAATTTTCCTCGTCAATCAACACAAAAATAATGTTTCAATTCGAACTGATGTAAGCGCGTTCAAATAAACTCTTCAGTTTTATATAAGTCTATATTATAACAAGCATTAATTTTCACAGATTCCTAGTGGTTAAGAAGAAATTAGACATATTCGCCAAGGTTGAAGAAGTGGTCGCAAAAGGAGGTAACACGCCCAAATACACAGTCTATATACCATCTTCGTTAAGTAATAGATGATGCGACAGTGATTATAATCAGTTTATTATATTAGATTATGTCAGTGTGGCAATAAAACGGTCAATTTCAGAAATATGTACTTTAGTAAATGAATATATTTTTTGCTATCGTCATTGTTTTTTTTCTTTGATACTGAAACTTTATTTTAGATTGTATATTTCTTTAGTTCTGTCCCCTACTACATAAGCCGCCATGTTGGTCAGGATGACGTCACTTTTAATATCTCATATGAGGTCATTCAAATACATATTTCAAATTCAGTTAAGGTTTATAAAAATCTGAAATACTTTTTACTGCCTACTAGTATTCTCTTAGTTGTATTCCGCACACGTAGAGGTTTTGATTATCAGCCCCTATATGATTGTATCATAGGCTAGATACTGTTTGGTATTCGGCTGGAAATATGCGGGATAACGATATAATCTTAAAAAAATATATAAAAGCAAACAAATCCCGAAGACAAAACACAGTTTGAATTTGGCAGTTGTTAGTAAACAATACAATGACGAAGCTAAGTGTTGCCATCGCTGCTTTCTGTTTGATTTATTCGTTTGTAATAGTGGGAAGCTCGTTCATAAAACCAAATAATGTCCCGAGAGTTGGGAGAAGCAACGAAGCAGATGGTCCTTTTGACCAGGGAATGATGGGATATGTCATTAAAACTATCCCTAGTAAGAACATACCACGAATGGGAAGAAGAAATTTTGACTCGGTAAGTCATTGCCAGGTTAACATTTTAAAATGAAATGTGGTTTACCACTGGAATTTGCAGAATTTGGATTCAGAAGTAGACGGCGGTTTACTTTTGAATGTAGCACAGCCGTTCTAGCGCTGCTAAAATGGTATAAACGGCTAATCCAGGGAGAATTACTTTGATTTGTTTTTTTTTTGACAATCCATCCGATTTTAAATTATTGGTATCTTGTAGATGATATGGCAAACATACTTTGCAGTTGAAAACAATTGTGGTACCAACCCATATGGGTTGCAGGGTTAAGATGAGATCGATTGCATTTTTATTTTTAGGGCAGCCGCTACGACATTCCGAAGTTGTACCAGCTCTCTTCGAATGACTTGCAACCCTATGAAGGTATTTACAAATATTAAAACAGATGTTTTATAGGTAACATATTAATTTAATTCAAACAATTCACAGATGGCAGTCAAGATGAACAAGTGCGCGAATCTCTCTTCGAAACAAAATAAGACCCACGACAATGAATGGAATTTTCAAGTGGAACGATTTAAATAATCTAGTCGTTAGAATTAACTATGAATAAAGAATTATAAATAATATTGGGACTTTCCTTATGATCCAGATAAAATTAAATAAATAAAACTAAGCATTACTACAGCATATCTGTCAACCACTGCGTAGAAAGGAAAAACATCTTTTGACATTTACTTCTGTCAAAGTCATTATTTGATAGTCCTGAAAAATTGAGTAGATCAAAAGTAAATCAACAAAACAATCTTTCTCTTTTGACCTAGTAGGATTGTGAATAGCTCTATCTCTTTTATGCTGTGAACCTATACCTATTTTAAAAGATCGTATTAACATTCACCTAATTTCTTCCACATATTTTGTGGGAGAAATCCGATTATTTTTCGATAAACATTCAAAATTCACAGTAATACAAATAGTCAATAAAATGACCATTACCAACGATGTAGTTCTTCCGGAAGACTCTGAGCTAACTGTGCAAGAAGTCGATTTATCAACATCAACTTTGCGAGCTGGTTCTTTTCACCTAGGAAAATACTGTGAACAAGTTAATAATGTGAGTTCAATACCTGTTAAATACAAGAACATAATTCAATACTAACTACCATACATCGAAACATTTAATGTTTTGTTTGGGGGATGATTGCATAATCATAATAGGTTATGTTTATAATACATAGTATAATTTATATTGTTTTATACACATGAAATCCTTTAATATTACAAAATTGTTTATTTACTTCTTACCTTAATATATTGACAATTTACATAAGATATTTAGTGCACTTACTTATCAACAATCAATAAAATACTCTTGGTATTGGGAAGCACAGGTCTAAATCTTGGATTATAATATATATTTCAGGAGTTTATGCTCTGCCGTTTCGAGGAAAAAGATCCTCGTAAGTGCCTCAATGAAGGAAAAGCTGTAACCGCTTGTACACTGGAGTTCTTTAGAAAGGTGAAGAAGACTTGTTTAGCTGAGTTCAACCAATACGCTCACTGTATTGACAAGAGTTCGGGTGATATGGGACTTAAACAGTGAGTCTGTTTAAACAATATATCATTAAGTATTTCAAAATGATAATCATTGTTACTAGTTGTAACATACATATTTTAATGATTATCTCTAATTAATAATTCTAGAGATTGAAACACAGCACCCCAATTCGTTTTGGAATGCTAGGCAAACGCATGTAAAAATCCACTTAGTGGTCTTATTTTTTGACATAATATTACTTAAAAATCTTAAATTTAAGTTTTACACCTGTAAAAGTGTCTGACATACCTATATCATTCACACACTTTGCATCACTTGTGCTACATTGGAATTTATTATATGTATATAGTGTATGATACATTGCAACCAAATTTTTTAATCCTCCCAGTTCTAAAAGTACAATTTATAATAAATAATATGATTTTAGCTGCCGTAAAACACAAGGTGTCTTTGATCAATGTATGTTGGAAAAATTGAACTTGGAGAGGCCATCCTTTGGATACTTTACTGAAGCTAGGGTACATGCTACTACAAGGTAATTAAATATAATATATCATGGGAAATAAGCTAATATGTTTGTCCATAAGGCTGGGGAATTCTCGTTTATTGCCAGAACACATTGTCAATATTTACTTTTATTGTGGTGATCTAAAAAGGTTGCCTATCACTTCATCTATGTGCAATATTATAAAAGATTCACTTAAATAATTGTCTAGGACAATTCACAGTTACATGTCAGTTCAAAAAAAACTGCAAGTGATGATATTTATTTTTCCTTATTAATGATTTTCTAGACCAAAACCACCAGTGGAAGAGAAGGCAGTATACCCTGATGCTACACCGGCGCTTCCCGAAGATGCTGAAAAGAAACCACCCCGATATGGCAGTCGCTTCTACTGGATGACAGAATAATTGATTTTACTCCATCGTCTTGAAGTAACGCAATATCAGAAGTAAATTCTGTTATAATTTATTACATAAGCTAAACTTTTTGAGTGTTACTTTAATCATAAATCATGGATAATTAGTAGATAATTATATTTGTTGAAATCATTTATGGGTTTACTTTTTAAAATTTGATCTTAATATAAGGTTGCTCCCTTACAATTATAATGCACTGGAAGAAGAAGATGTACGTAAATAATGATTAAATAATAGTATTAATTATTGTTTCGCCTTTAATAATAAACAATAATAATAAACTCTACATGTAGAATGTTGATTAGAGTAAAATTTGTAAATTAATTCAGGGTAGATTTTTATTCAGCGTCTTGCAAAGCATTAAACGCAACAGTAGGTAACAGTAGTATTTTCATGTCTGATGTATAATTAAATACAAGTGAATTTGTAAATGGGAATTTATTTTTCATAATATGATATGACCTGGTTGTACAAAGGAATGAAATGTGGTCATCTATCCCTATACCGTTGAGGTCGTGAACCCTATGTTTATGGTACGTAGCGATGTACGCGGTCATTAATATCACTTAAAAATAATAATTATTATTTATTTATTTACAAAAATTCCTACCTTAACAGGTTAAACCTAATACGATAGAGAAAAAAAAATACAAATACATTAATACAAATAATTATGCATTTCACTAATAAAAAGATATTTTGAATAATTTAAATATCGATGAATCAATAAAACACTCGATTCGAGATCAAAAAAGCCGGTTATTATTTAAGAAGAAGATAAGATGTCAATCAGTCTCATTATGACAGTTGCAAGTTGACATATTAACATGATTGATGGCCAAAATTCAAATTGAAGTTTGAACATAATAATTTTTTTCCATAATAATTAATATTATTGTTAAACAGTGTTAAATGTTGTAACTTGGACGTTTATAACGCGAAAGATAGTTATTTATTTATTTAGTTATATTTATGTATATAAGGAAAAGATGAGGGTTCGTATATGATTTTACCATCGTCAGGTATCAAATCACTTTCAGTGTTTTTAAGTTTATTTTTAGCTTAAATTATGAATAATAAAGAGGACATGCAGCCAACAATGTCAAACTCAAAGTACAAGAACTTTGTGTCTTCAAAAAATGACACTGGGTATGTTTTTTTTTAAATCTTTTTACTATATTAAAAAAATCGTTATAACTTCCAGTTATTGATAGCAATTGTGATTGCAGGCAAAACATACAGCCACTAATGAAGACACCAACGTCTGAACTGGTTTTAGGTCTATCAAAAGCTCCTAATATGAAGTTGGGACAGAGGTATTATTTATTATATACTATTAATTTTTATTAATTTATCATAAATATAATCCTGGAATGCAAAGAAATATATAACAATAAACTTCATCTTCATAAAATACTAGCCACAGCTTCGTCTATGATTAGTTATATTGTTGCATGAAAATTCATTTTGCAACTTCCTTAACATGTACCCATGAAGTTGCGACAGTCCTGTTGTTCTCACAGGTTAAACTCACAAGATACACATATACTGTTTCAGATATTTATTTAGATTGTTTAAAGAGGCATAATTCTTTCTTACATCATTTTTGAGTTGTAGTCTTGAACCATTTACACAGTGCAGGCAACAAAAACCTACAAAGTTTTAATGTTTTATAGCCCAAAGCCTATCTTCATATGTTCTAACCAAAACAAAGACTTTTTTGATTCCAACCAGTAAAAGTCGACCAAGCTAATGTGATTATGTGGTATTATTATTGCAGAATGCTGAATAAAATGGGTTGGTCAGGAGGTGGTCTTGGAAAATCAGGGGAGGGCATAGTTGAGCCTATTGCGCCCAATACCACATATGTAAGTGAAAAACTTGAAGTAACTATGGCAAGGGCATCTTTTCAGGGTCTGACGCAATGTGCTACTTGCTGTAAGCCTTAATCCTTTTAAGCCACAAACATCTTTAGGTTGTGCATAAACTTCTTGCGAAAATATTATTAACTAGATATGCCAGTGACTTCGTCTGCATTAAATAGTTATTTTGGGCATAGAAATGACTTTCAAGCGGCATGTTAAACTGAACCTCCTTGGAAAGCAGATGTGCAGCTATTAATGATTATTATTATTATTATTTCATTATGTAGGTATATGTTTATTGTGGTATATATCAATTTTCCTTCTATATCCAAGCCAGTCTGTAAACCAGCGCTGCTGGAGTGACAAGCTGAGACTGGTACCGATTGCCATCTCTTATATGTTTATTACTCATATATATACTTATTTTTATATGCACACAATTTAGTAATAAGTTATATGTTTGTAAATATCATAAAATGGCAATGAAAATAAATCTTGAGGAATGGCTATTGTCAGTATTGAATCTTGTAGTTTTCCACAGGCATCTCGCAAATTGGGTTTTGGTCTAAACAGTTCTACGAGTACAGAAGACAAAGTGCAGACCACAGATATGGTGTCAATTACACCATCTGCGAAAAACACACAAATGGCACGGACTAAACGAAATCAAAAAAAGAAACACATCTGTCCACCACAAAGACAGTACTACAAACCAGAAGTAAGGAGCCTCAAGCCTTTTAAGACATACGCGTTACAAACCCTATTGGATTTTGTAAGAAATGATAGTCAAGTGGAGTTCTTCTTTGATACAAGGTTGACAAATGCACACAGGAAATGTGTTCACACTCTTGTTCAAGATATAGAGAATGACGATTACATCGGTGATGTTGATAATCCAGAGCAGATGGATCTTATACAGAATATACTTGAGTTTAAGGCTTACGAGTTGTACACACAGAGTTTTGGACAAAAACCGGACAGGTAAACACTTTCTGAATATAAGTATTTACTAGTTTTGCTATCACTACCCAATCTTATTGTATTATTTAATTTGAGTGCCCTATGTATTTTGTTTGAACTTCTAACCTTGAACACATTGGTATTTATAGTCTTATTATTTTCTTTCGGGGACACCTGTGGTAGGACGGGTGATCAGTCCACACTATCAGCTGACCATTTCACCCATTTCCCCATTTCCACCTTGTGGAGGTTATGGGTCATCCAACTCTCCCCGTGTCCCCTTCAAACCTTCCGGTTTGCTTGCAGAATCTTATAATTTTTTCCATCTGTAATTCTTTGATCTCATCTTCTGTAACTTCGTCCGAACCCATATGTGTTTGTCTCAGCCTCGAGTATGCAGAGCATTCAGTGAGTAGATGGATGCTTGTTTCCTCACTTTCTCTGCACTCCGGACATAGGGGGTCGCTGCCTATTTATAGTCTTAGTAGATATTTTATTCAGCGGTCTTCTTATTTTGGCAAATATAATTTACAGACAGATTGGTATATTCAAAGATGCTCCAGCCCATGTCTTCTTAGTAGTACCGGAAGATTTGCGGAAAAACAATGATAAACTTTATAACGATACAGAACTTGAAAAAGACGTTGGAAAAGTGCTAGAAAATTCTAAATACGTCGCAACTGAAATAAGAGATATTACAGCTAAAACAAATGAAGATGACGTAAATAGCATAAATAATAGTAATGTCGTGCTGAGTTCTGCGAATGAAAATGTCGAACAACGATCGCACACTAAAAACGACATGAAATCAACGCCTATAGAAAATGAACAAATAAGTGAAAATAATACATGTAAAATTAAAAAAACAAATGTTATATCACATGTAGCAGATAGCAATTTCAAACCTCCCAAAGTCAATGCCAAAGTAAGAGATGATGAAAACGTAAATGAACTTAGAAAAAAACCAAATTACGTAAATAATACTTTGGAATTAGAGAAATTCTACATAAATGAGTTTTTTGCCAATTCAGAAGAAAGCACGACAACAGTAGGCCAAGTTTTAGAAAAAGTTGTCGATTTTTTTACAGAATTCGCAAACGATGATAGCTATACAGAGTTTCGATTCCTCGGCTTGTTTAATAATACAGAGTACAATGCGCTGGTGGATTTCTTTAATCTTTGCATAAATAACGAAGGCGTGTGGGATGGAGTGGTGGATAAACTGAGGGCCGCGTTGGATAACGATGCGTTTTATTTCAACTTGCAGGATAACTGTAATGGAAGTACTGTGTAAGTTTTGTTTTATTATAAAATGTAATAAAAATAAAATTGTTATGAAAAAAAGGACATCACATTACGTCTAGTTGTTTCAGATGATTTATATAATTAATATAACATCTATAAGGATACAAACAGTTCTTTCAGATGAACTATGTATAATTTTATAAAATTTTCTATTGAAAGGGTTACTTTTGTCTCATATATCCGCTTATTTCTGAAGGCACTTTATAATGAATTTTTTCCAAAACTTGTCCTATATTTTTTATTAAATTTAAAGATAGCAGAGTATATGTGTATAATTTATCATATCAAATTCCACAGAATCTACAAAGAGAAGAAGCAAGATTGAACATGTTGAAGTTCTTTACTATTCGAACTGCATTGGCGATAAAAAAATATATACATGTGATATTATGTTTTACAGTAAATATTATTTAATAAACTATTATTTATTATTTAAAAAAATAAGGATTTATTTCTGGCAATATTAAAAGACCAGACTTATCAACTTCGTTAGTTTGCATTGCACCTGTACTTTGTTCGTTAGGAATAAAGTCCCAGCTGTGCTAATACAATGCTAATGGGCTAATACAATTTCTAGAAACCAAAGGGTTGAAATAAAAAACAACTTGTCATTTTAATAATTTAATGACACATCCACTCAAAATAAAATAAATCGCGGGGATGTAGGATTGTCTTTTATATAATTTTTATCTAGAGAATAAAAATAAAAGCAGTCTCTATGATATCACTTAAATAAAGGATATGGCAACACTAAATACTAAGAGTATGGTGCAATAACATGGTGTTTGAAGGATAGTTTTGGTGGAGTATAATTGAGCAGTGCAATAAAAAAAATACTTTTGGCACCACAAGTATTTTACTTGAATATATAGCTATAGTAGATTCAAACTCAAATCTCAAAACGTTTGTGCTGAGTAAAGAAGAATGTCTATTTTTTGTATATTTTAGACACTTCTTACTATTCGCCCAAAGCATTATTTTGGCAAATATATGTAAAATAATTTCAAGGAAATGCTGATTTTTTAAATATATTTAAAAAATCCTTGAACGGTTTAAAGCGCAAATTATATTAGTTAAACTCGACGTCTCCCTGTGACCACGGCTGCTGCAAAGTATCCGACACTTCGAGCTGTAGTTAAAATAGATTCAACTAATATATTTCGCGTTTTAAGTCGTTAGTGTTTTATTTGAATGTATGCATACCTCATATTATTGTACCATATTACCCTAACTAGCTGTGTGATAATTCAGCGAATTATTAAATTGCCTATTATAATTTAATGCGACTAATATTAAGATTACAGTACAAAAGAATTACAACCATTTCTCACGACAATACTCGATATGTCCGTCTTAAACGCTTCTTTTTAGCAATTGTAGCTTTATCCATAACTATAAACTTTCAAAAAAGTCTCCATTTATACAATTAGAGGAGACGCATGTATTTGTCTTTTTTGCGCCTTTTCTGACCTCCTTCTACACTCCATTAAAGTGAATGAGACAGGTAATAATGAATAGCATCGTTCTATGAAAATATCATTCAGTCTGTAACGTTTATAATAATTGAATTAACCGATGCAAGATGGCGCTGTTCAAAATAACGACGAAGGACATCAATTTGGTTTATCAAATGAAAATTATTTCTTTCAGAGCATTTCAATTGAAAGAAAGTACATACAAAACCTCATATTTGTCAAATTATGTTTTTTGAATTTGTACTCAAAGAAAACACAGTAAGATGTAATATGAACAAATATAACTTAAATGCTCAATTGAATTGCAATTCATTGAGGTCTTCCGAAAATTATCATATTTGTATAGGATACAATATACAGTAAGGACTCAAATCTTGAAAAAAAAAACAGGCTTCTTCGGAAAAGGTGAATACACCGGACAGAAGGAGTACCTTAAAATAATAAGCAAATAATGACAACTCGGATAGTCACCGTAACGCGTTAGGTAACGAAGCGATAAGAACTCCTGAGAAGGTATCACGTCAAAATGTATTTAATTGTAGACATTCCTCCTCCGATAGATGGCGCTGATTGCAATTAATAGCCGGAATGTATTTTAATGAGCTAATTGTTTTCCTGGCAATTTAAATAACATAACTATACTACAGTATGGTTAATACATTCATCAAATTGACTGCATTTAATATTGCTTGCGTAACAGGTTATTTAACCTTGATTTAGGACATTTCATGATAAGACCAATACAACGATTTACATAGCTACCATAAAAGTAAAGTCTTACAATCAAATTAAAGACATAATTGTTACAGGTAAATAATTTCTTATATACAAAAAAGGTTTACATAAAAAATAACACATTACAGCGATGCTACTTGATTTTTCAAATGTAAGATATGCCAAATTGATATTTCGATAATCTTATTGTTCGATCATCGATCACTTGCATATAATTTTCATAGGTTCGCACATGAGAGCTTATATTTATCACTTTTCGTCTCTTCACGGCCATTCCTTTAAGGCTATATTAATGTTAAGGAGTCATCGACAACACCCTGTTGTATACATTTGCAGATTAGTAAAATTATTCAAGTTCGAAATAGTTTTTGTCCCTTTCACAGAAACGTCAAAAGGGTTTAAATGAAAGAGACAGACGGAGGAACTATTCTGCACTTTTCTTAATTCGTTATTTATTAGTTTTGTTAGTGGATTGAGTATTTTAACAATGGCACTATACGTGATTAAGGAACAGTTTGGGCGAGTTGTTTTAACTACACATAAAATCTGGCGGTATATGTATTTAAGTTTTAAACGTATGTTGAAAACTTTAAGAAACACGTTATATTTATTTTTAACGTATGTTAAACTTTGGAATACATTTAATTTATACTTTGAAAATTTTTAGGTCGAGACTGCGATAAATAAGGACGTAAGGTTTAAGCACTTAACTAACTAGGTAAGAGAATAGTCTGACCAACCCATCTTTTGGGGGATTCAATACTCTTTTTAGTTAACGCGATTAGTTTATAGATTCAAATAAAACACTTATAACGGTTTAAAACGCGTAACATAATATTTAACCTTTTTTAATTACGGCTCGACGTTTCGGATGCTTTACAGCAACCGTTACGGTTTAAAATGTTTTATTTAAATTTAATACTCACCAAATCCGTCGTGCCAGACGCACCGTACTTGTTTGCATAAGACGCGACGGTATCGCTCAGTTACGATACGCTCTTATTACTTTCAATACTAACAAGAAAAAACCCCGTAGAAAATTATAGAGGCATTTATACAGGCTGTTGTATTACTATACTATTGTTTTACTCCAGTTATATTTATCTGGCTAGTAAAACTCCTCATTTATCTCACGAGATGTAATATTTTCCGGTATATAATCGATCCAATGAGAAACAAATATCCAACTACCCAACAACGAACAAACTTTCGCATTTATAATATTAGTAGGATAGTATGAAACGTTATTATGTACGAGTATATGTACTATATTCTATACCTGACTCGCCCTGTTCCGGCCTTGTTTAGTGTTTTTATATAGTTTTTTTGCAAGTAAAATGTCCTTTTGAACTGTTACTTTGATGTTCAAATTGTAACCGAAAAAATGGTGAAGTCAAATAAATTGAAACAAATACTAACTTACGTATGATATGTAAATAAATTCTTTGATTAACTAATGCGGTTTTTGCGTTGTTCATCATTGTTGTTGAAACAAAATTGATCAACATTTGTTTCTGATGGAGAAAAGCTGTCAACCTACCTAGCTACCTAATATAGTATAAAAATCTCCACAAGGGCCGACTCACTTCTGTATTTTTTTGTCTTTAGCAAAAGGGAATGGTGTTTTTATGTAGCTTTAAGATTAATAGCTTAGATTCAAGCTCCCGTGTATTTTTTTACTGTCATTTAACGTCCTATAACTAACCTACAGAAACGAACTGATTTTGATGTTATTACGAAACGAATGATCTATTAATTAGCCAAACAAATAATGTCTGTTAAAATGAATGATTAATTAACTAGTTTTCGACAGCTTTATCAAATATTTATAGTTATAATCCCGTTTACGAGTATTCACTAGGATCAATATTTCAAATCGATTTTCATACAACTATGATATAACCGTGAATATAATTTACGTGTGGCCTAATGGACCTATAATGAAGACGTAGATTCTTAATGATAACGTGTTGCAGTCTTATCGTATCCTTACAGCCAGCGCGGTGGCTGTTATAGCGAAGAGGGCGCACAAGATGCAGCTGATGAGTGGGCCGAAGTCTCCCATGCCTCGGACTGCAGTGCCGCACATGTACGTTATTGAAAGGATGAGCCCGTGCGATGTGCATCTAGAAAATTATCAATACATTGTATCAAACCGGCTCGAAGGACCAACTGGTTAAATATTTTTTTTTAAATTGTTTTAAAATATTAGCGTACTATCTATTGTGTTTTATATTATCATTTAAATATTGCTTTAATAATAAAAACAATAAAGAATTGTTTTTTAAGATACTTGACAGTTACATAGTGGTTAGAAAACAGTTTGGAGTTTGAGACCCGTATTTATCATCAGATGTGTTACTCTACTTGTTGGGGTGACAAAATATATTGACTGATAGTGAAATTACCTCAAATTGGCTGGATAGGACTCGACAACCTTAATGCTTATAGTGAAGAATATAACGGTCACGATCAGTCTGTAGGCGGCCTCCACTATGTATAGCGCCGTCTCTATCTGCGCGAAGTAAAGAGTAGGAGACAGCAGTACTAAGGCACCGCACAGTATCACTGTAAAAGGTAATAATAAAAATGATCTAAACAAATATATTGCGTAAAAGTGTAATAATGTGAAAAAATATCTATTTGACGGATGGTTAAGCGCGTTGCCTAGCATTACGTTAAGCAGAACGGATCCAGGGCTTGAATCTTGGGGGAAAAATAGTTTCGGCCAAATAGGGCACAGAAGTCTTCGTATCATTATCACATAATTGATACGAATTATGTAAAACATTTTTTAACGTACCGAGACGTTTTACAATTAAATGCACTATATACACAACTTATAAATGAGGAATAATTGAATTGGAATTGATGTAAATAGTTCGGTATGTTATTCCTTTTTTATTAAACCGAGTTTAACAAACTACTACTCTTACACGAAGAGTTCTCCACTGTTGAATAGGTCAACAAAAGATACACAAAAGTCAAGTTGTAACCTTTTTAAGACAGATAGACGACGAAAAGCTAGTGATAATAGGGTGTAATTTTTTTCCTATTCGGAACCCTAAACACCTAATATACATAGGCAATGAGGCATACCTGGCGGTCTTAGACTGTGAGGAGCAGCAACTGGTATGGCAGCCAGTAAAGCCGCGTACGCGCCGTACGTATTTTCGGCCAAGGGACCTCCCAGGGTAGAAGTCAGATCCGCGTGGCGGCTACAACCCCCTTTCACACCGCGCACGACGCTACCGGTCAACGTACAATCGGATTCCAACTCGCGACCTATCTCGATATCTGTGTCTATCATACTGAAATAGAAATAATGTTGTCTTACAATATATATCAAATGTTTTTACATCACTCTATTCCTGCCCTGCCTGACTATACTGTTTGAAATAATTCAAATTAAAAATATATGTAGTTCATATTGTAATAATTCACACCATGTGCGAGATTCGAAGCCACGACCGCAGCTAAATTGTTATGAACAACCTCACTGAACTTTGTGGTCGTGCGTTTGTGTCCCGAACGTGTCATCAAACTTTTTTAATTCAAAATTGATTTAGAGAACGTAAAAAATAATAAATTTTAAAGCTTTATATACCTGTGACGTCTCAATTTGATCACCTTAAGAAATAGGTGAATATTTTAGTTCTAAGTGAAAATTTGGGGTAGGTGCGGAAATCGTAAATTCAACTCGAAGGACCAGATAACAAAATCAAGTGTAGTATAATAAATGAATTTCTAACCGTATTTTGAACTTCAAGCGCTATATAATTTTTTCAAAAAATTGATTACCTACTTAGTTTAAGGTTTATGATTGACAAGGATGCGTCCCAACTTTAGGAATCACTCACGTGGAATTAACGAAGAGGCATCCCTTGAAAGTCGTATACGACGTTTTGATGTTGGCAAAGGCAACATTCAGGAACGTTGTGTTGTAGAACGCGACGTGCGACATCAGCATATCGCGAAACGTTACGTTACGAAACGTGACGTAAGCGAAGTCGATGTTCTCCAGCGTTTCGTTGTAACGTTCGTTTTCGTACGTTACGTTCGCGATGCGCCGTTTCGATAGCAGGAACGCCTCACTCTCCATGTTGAGGACAGTAGACGGTATACTGGCGGAGATATAGAACTGAAAGAACGTACTAATTGTAATTGTTTGTTTTACCTTATAAATTATTACTATAAAATTTCTAGTGTAGAAAAAATAAACGAAATTATTTCTACTACGTTTGACGCAACCTAAAACGAATTACTACACCTACGTTTTACTTTCTTTAACCATAAGTTAACTTAAATTTTGCGTTTTACCCCTTAAAAGGATTATATGTAAATATTGATAGAATTATTAAAATAATCGTTTTTTTTTAATTCACATAAAAAAATACGATATCAAAAAATAAAAATATTAATTGTTGACTACTCTTGTCGTTTGGTTAGCATATAAACACTTGAAAAACCTGTCATACATTAATCTTCTAGAGTGTACTACGGCTCTGCGATAAATATTCCTTTAGGTGTGCTTACCGAAATGGCCATAGAGAAGAGAAGTGTCCCACCCAAAGACAGCGTAGTATTTCTATATGTGTTCGAGAACAATTGGAAGAATGTCTGCCAGAACTGAAAAATATATTAACAAACATTAAATTATTTCAATAATAATTTGTAACAAATGCATTTTTATTCTTTAGGATATAGGTGTTCACTAGATGGAAGGGTATCCCAACCACATAACATTTCGACAAGATGCGATTAAACTTCACGACTTTTTTATCTGCGGTGGTTCGTGATTCGGACTATAACGATTTGATATTTGATATCCAGATTTCCAGAAGATCTCCAAGATGTGTCGAAAAAATTCTGAGGAACCCATAACCAAATGATATAGCAACGCTAACATTAGACCAACGAGCCTATCCAAGGTCATCGTATAGAATCAATTTTAAGCCCACCATTTTGACACTATGTCTGACGTGGTGCAGCGCCGGGGGGCGCCTCTTGCCGGGCAGAGACAACTCGCCCAGACGATATTCCGAGTCGTTGGCCACGCTTGCCTTGCGACACACCCGGATTTGATTGCCGCTGTGTATACTCTGTGAAAACATTTTTATTTCTTGATTAACGAATTTTGATGTTGAAATTTATATTTTAAAACGTGCAATAAGTTATGTATTCTCTGTAGTTTATGTGAGAAGTATACATTTAAGCAGCAACAAGCAGTTTAAGATGCGAAATATATAAGCTAACTTATTTCTCATTGCGATTCCAAATTCCGGGTGACTTGTAGCTGCCGCGTTTACGGCGGGACACACGTAAAAATTAATTAACAAATACATTTCGAGATTTAAACCGTAAAAAGTATTTTATTTACACGAGAAATATTGTAATTAAAATACAGAATTTGTTTGCTAAACACATAAAAAAACAGAAAATATGTTTTTTTAACTACTCGCTTTAGATGCGCATGCGTAGAACTATTGAGTAATAATTAATTTGTCTCTTTCACACTCGTCTCGTTATTTCTCTTTCGTCGTTTCTTAAGCTTCTTGAGCTTCAGAGTTGTAAGCCGTTGTAACCAAGGAGTAGCAATTCGTTTTGAATGGGCACGAATCGCTTACACCATTTTGAGAAAAACCTAATTTTTGTTTTGACATTGTAAACCTCACCTGGTAGACCATCATAGCGTCGACTTCTCTCCCGACATCTAGAAGGTAGCGGGGCGATTCCTGTGTCCATATTAAGCTGATGAGCGACGCGAGAACTGGCAACATACAAAGGAGGAGGTATCTGAAATAAAAAAAGAAATTAATCAGTGGAGACCGAATACAATCTGAAGATATAATCATACATTTAGTTCACAAATTGTCCGTAGTATAGCTATTCTTCCTTACTTTTCCTGCTCTAGCCAACGTTATTTTTCGATGAAATTTAATTACTATAAAAAGGGCTCTCGCAAGTTAATTTTAAAAGAGACAATTTTTAGATTACTTAAAGAAGAATAGTTCTTTTATACGTATTTAATGGAACCGTTTACGCAGCACACGCAATAGAAACCCTCAAAGATAAATAATTTCTCGTTTCTTCAACACTTGCCGCTGTTTATTCACTCTTATTAGTCGCAGCCTGTTGTTTTATAAAGCCATTCTCGATAAACGATACGAACGACGCAAAAATAATTTTTCAATTCCTGAGATTGGAGCGTTCAAATAAACTTTCAGTTTATGTCGTTCAAATGTTAAACTTTGTAATTTCATCTACAACGATTTTCTTAAGCTACAAAGCATAAGACATTTAACGTTGAAATTACATTGCGCGAGAGATGCATGCATCAATAGTTTGAAAAAACTCTTCAGCTTTATAATATTAATAAAAGCAATCTGAGTCCAACCTATGCCATGCGCTGAAGTGCTCCTTGTTCTCGATCAAGGCCTCGGCCCCCGTGAGGGGCAGGATGGTCCTGGCGAGCCCCGCAGCCACCAGGATGCCGGCGCCCATGCACACCGGGAATAGCGCGAGGGGCAGGTTGCGCTTCGACCGCGAAATCATTTCCGCCGAGTACACGTAACCGGTTGGTATTATACCGCCTGAACCGATGGCCGAGCAAAACCTGGAATATTATAATTAAGTTACCAGGAAGAGATCGCTTATAGCGATAAGGCCACCCGGTGCACTCTAGTTTTAAAATTGCATAGTGTAACTATATGTTCTGTTTGTGTGTACCTAAGTGCGAAATAAAAAAAATACTCATAAAAGCCCAACTTGACCGATCGTAAATTTCCAACATTTGATCCCATCATTGATAATGCGAAGAAATACTTCATCCGAATAGACGTCCAGCAGGATAATTGGGAAATTTAAATAACGCTCTTCTACCAGTTAAGATTCAAAATAATTTTAAAATACGTCGAATTTTAACCATACTTTTTTACTTTTAAACTATATCCCAAAAACAGTCGGCTCTGTAAGTACCGAACTACGGAAGAGATAACGGTAGCTTAGCAAGTTTGACTTTGACATTAGAGAAACCCTCTTCAATCAACTCGTAACCTCGGCTGCGGCAAAGTACCCGAAACGTCGACGCGCAATGCTACAGCTAATTTTTAACCGTTAAAAATGTCCTATTTCAATGTATTACACTTGCGAAAACAACAAACAATACATAAAGGATTATCTGTCTGACAAGTAGAGTACTCGTAAGTAGACCTTTCAGCGAGCTCGATTCTCTACACTGCATGGAAGACTTTTTCGCTATAAAAAGAATACCTAACAGAACATAGTTACTATTTTAATTTATCTAGCACCCGTATTTCATTACCTGGCCATCATAAACGTGCCATAAGTCGGCATGAATGCAGCAATCGCAGCAAATACTGAATTGACAGCCAGCGCTGATAACAACGCCCTGCGCCTTCCCAGCCTCTCCCCTAGCGCCCCCCACCCTACCGCTCCGAGGGAACCTCCCATTATGCTGATCATCACTGTAAAATTACATCACATTTTGAACACGTTGTAGATATATAAATATAATAACTAAATGAAGAATTTGTTTGTTTGATACTCTAACATAACAATAAAAAAACTATTTTGTTTAATTTTTCATTAAATTTTACAAGCATAATATTAAACATTTGAAATATAATATATACGATTAAATAACATAATACGATTCTCTGAAATGGAGTCTACTCAGTTACTGTACTGAGCTAACACAAGCGATACAGTTTGACATTTCGTCTCTCAGGTGTCATACGCAAACACTTAAAACAATGACAATATAAGTAAAGATATGTAATGAGCAGCATTTTAAAAAAATAGGTACTTACGATTATTTTACTTGAGTTTCTATATTAGTTACATATAACTAATTCAATCTATTTATGTCCCACAGCTGGGAACAGGTCTCATCTCAGTTTAAGAGCTTAGACCTACTCATATTAAGCTATTTTTACCTTTAAATATTAATTCTGGTTAGACATTTGGTAACTCACCTAACCAATTTTTCTCATGTGGCAATACACAGAGCTCTATCTCAGCAGACGGCAACACAAATGGGATGGATGACATCTCTAACGCTGAACCGATGACGGCTAAGCCCACGGCGAGGATAACTCGCCCTTGCGATAGGCCGCAGCCGGCCTGGGACATATTATAAAGATTAAAATATTGTGGTATTATCTATACTGATATTATCAAGCTGAAGAGTTTGTTTGTTAGAACGCCGTAATCTCAGAAACTAACGGTTCGAATTGAAATATTATTTTTTGTTGTTGTCATGTGTCATGTAACATGTAAAAAATAATAAAGTTTTTTAAAAGCTGAGGATGTTGTTTGCAAAAATAAATGATGCCCAAAATAACTATTCCACGAGGACGAAGTCGCGGTCACAGCTCAGCAAGTTAAAGTATTCAATGTCAAAATACTGTAGTTTTGTACCTGTCTTAAAGCATCTTCGTGGAACTGTTCAAGAACACTCGAATCGTTGTAGTCTAAGAGCTCCCCGCTGTCATTCACGTCGTTGTTGTCTGGTGGTGCAGCTGCTAGGGTATTGGTGTTGCCAGGTTCACCGCCCCCTTCCACACCTGTTGGAGAAAGGGTATTTTATATTTAGACATTATGCGTGACGACTAAGCTAACATAAACCTAACTAAACCAATGGTAAAAAAAAGTATATATGGACTTAACTAGTATATATAACTATAAGAAAAGTATATGTGGTATATAAAACCCCATAAAGTCTTTCTATTAAAAGCATTCTAAGGGTTTTGGCAATAAACATACTTACAAATTTTCGCATATATAAGAGCTATGGTATAACGAACATGTTTCTTTTAATTTCGTTAACTGGACATTTGTATTTTCGCTACACCTGTTACCAACTATTTTTTCTTTTAATAAAATATACAGTAATTAATTATTTTAGTTTTTGAATACACAATAAGAGTAAAGTCTGCTTACTTGACGGTTTAAAACGCTAAAGCACGTCCCCCATGACCACTGCTAAATTCTTTTGTTAAATATGGTTGGCTTAAGGCATTACCAGTAAGTCTATCTTCCGTATAGGCCATGGTGTGGGCAATAGATCCGAAACTGCCGAGCTTCGACGAGCTCTCGGAATCAGAACGCGCGCGGACCAGGCACGCGTGCTCCTCCATCTTGGACGCCTATTTGTAAACCTCGATACATCTGAAAAATAAATAACCAAAATGGGTAAGAATGTGTATGAAGACATATGAGTTCGCTAGAGGCAGAGGCCTAACAGCAATTTTATGACTTGAGTTATTATATATATATTATATACTATACTATACTATAGTCCAAAAACGTTAATCTACACACACTGACTGAAAATTTTTTTGCCTTAGATAATTGCGCATTTTTATTTTCCTCCTATGTTATTAGGCCACTCTGCCCCTGCAGCATTAGGCTTATTAGCTTGTCAAAGATAATTCAGGGGCATATTAAAAAGTACTTGTTATTTACTTAAGCTATACACAACACTTAAGACTGTCATATAAACCTCATGCACAAGATAGATTCTAAAAACAAACAAACAAAAAAAGCTGATTAGAATATGGTTGGTCCAGGTGGGGTTCGAACCCTTGACCTGTTGATTTTTAGCCGTACATTGCTACTATTACACCACTGAGCCCATCAAGGTACAATGTATGTAAATAAGATAATATAGAATTAAGTAATCTGTGCAATCTATTTGCAAGCATGCCATGCTTATAAGCTATCTCAACCCATGCTTGGAGTATGTTAATCAGTCTGCGAGTGGTGCACGTTATATATTATATATAGTATATAGGACACTTTAGACAGTTTAAAACGCGGAATATGTATATTCATACCACTCTGCCATGACCACATTTGATAAGAAGTATTCAAAATGTTGGATTGTAGTTAACAATTTGAACCCTTAACAGGAAGCATTTGAAACCGTTAAAAGTGATTTATTTTATATTAAGCAGTGTTACTAATCACTTATATTGATGGGATATGAAGCAATGTTATTTTGATCCTTGTTAAAATTGTTCAACCGATTAATAGATGTAAGTTATAAAAGGTAAAAGTTCTTCTTTATTATAATAACTAATGATATCGAAAGGTTTACAGCACACGCATTAGTGTTTAGCTTGCCTGTCCTTCTCAGACTAATAATACCTCATTGGTATTATACACTGCTTCTCTAAACACTTACAAAGATATAAATAGAATTATATTAATCATAATAAAATAATTCTAAAACGGCTGTAATGTGAAGAGGATCAGGTTACACATGGATTGTTATATTATTATTGTCGGTCTTAACCGTTGTGCTACAGAGTCTGTTGTAATATAGATATGTTAAATAAAATTAAACATACATATAGAACATTTTTAAGTTTGCATAAGTTGATTTAAATAATTTGCTTTGTATAAAATTAGAAACGCTATTGTTTGCTAATTGATATGACCTCACACAGAGGAAATCTTTTAAGTATGTAGTACCTCATTAAGTATTCACATTGAAATAATATAAGAACATAGCGTAATCAACTGTTTACTTACTGTTACTTTTTTTTTAACAATATTGGTAGTTAGAAACAACAAAAAATAAAATTATGAGAATGCCCTTTTGATGTTTACATTTGTTTGGACTTTTAGAAATTTTAAAACGTAAGTAACTAGTTGATCATATTGCTGCGCCCTGCCCAAATGAAATTATCCCATTGAAGATTCCACCCACGGGACTTCTTAACGCAAAGCTATGTATATAATACTAGCCTTTAAAGTACACAGTAGGTTGGTAGGTTTAAATCATACGGTTAGTTAGTTAGGTAAGTTTAAAACATACAGTTGCATGTTTTTATACCATTAATTGATTGACATTTTCAGACTAATCTAACATGTTTAGAAAGATAAGGCATTTTATGAACGTGCAGGTGTTCATAAAATGCCTAATATGACTTGATGCTGTCTCATATGGGGCTAATTAATTAATGACATCCATTCCCCTCACAACTTTCATTCATTTATTAATAATATAAGCAAAAAAGCAAGTTTGATAAAACCCTCAATTGTTTACAATAGGCTAAGCTAATTAAGATAAAAAAAAGGAAAAAAAAAGAATTACCAATGCACTGCTCTTAATATGAATTCAATTTCTGCGTTTGCGCAGCATTAAAATAACTTATTAGAGATATTTAAGGGTACAACACTTACAAGTTTTGTACAGACAGTCACATAAAGCATTAAGGTACAACAGTTTGAAATGATTTAAAAGATAATTTAAAGAGAAAACTAAACAATGGAGTGCATTAGCATGTCCAAATAGTAAAAATGAACTAATGAGGACTAAAAATAGCTAAGTTATCAGTCATAGACCTTACACCTTATAGTTAATATGGGTTATGTATTATACTTACATTGAAAGTCCAATAAATCAAAGACTAAAGTAAAAGTTCAATTATCATGGTCCAATCAAATTTAATTCATGTAACGCAGGCGATTGATTCACGTAGAAAATCACAAAACAAACAAAAATCGACCCGATGTAGGTATTTTACACAAAGAAAATATAACTTGACATTTTCAAATAAGCCTCCCATTTTTCATAAAACGTCAATGTCAAATGCATCATTCTGCATTTGACAGTGGAAACACAGATAAAAATACCATCCTTAAATCATGCATTAAACATCTTATAAGTTAAGTTTAAAAAAATAAGGATTGAACGAATTTAAAATCGATTTCGCATTTATTAAATGCTTTACAGTTATAAAATAGTTCAATTCAAGTTAAAGAGAAACAATACATGCAATAATATTAAAATAAAAATAATTAGGTATTGTTGATTCAAAAATGTTATGTAATAAGTCTGATACTTAAATATTTTTCTAAAAATACATGCATTTAAATTCAGACACTAAATTTTCTAACTATAAACAAAATAAGACGTCACATTGTCACAATGCACACTATTAAACATCCAGAGATTAGAATAAAATTTACAGCTTAATAATATTACGATATTAATATTCCTAAACGTTAAAAACACTGAAAGCCAATTCTGTTTTACTTAAAAAATATGCATGAATTACATTGTGGCGTAAAATTGCTCGTGAAATGTGCAATTAAATCCAAGTGGATAATTGTATGATTCAAAACCTGCTGCTGGTCTTTTTATGCAAACACATCACTTATCACAACTTTAACACAATATTCATCTGTTCGTTGTTCTTCTATACATGTTTAAATAACTGAAGACTCAGACTGAGAATCGTCAAATATATATTTTTTTCTAAAAATAAAACTCAATTAACCGGTAGCTACTATTGTTTGGCTTTCGAATGTATCAAAACAAAAAAAAGGTTCACCAAACTAAATAAAACACTTGTCTTGTTAAACCGACATATAAAACCATTCACGTTTGTATTTCACATCTAAATCTGCTGAGTTTAAGGTCAAAAGAGAAATAGCAATATTAAACTTTACGAAAGTGGAAGAGAGGCGGAAAATGCCAGACTTGAGAAACGTGGCAAGACGAAAAGAGAATTAGTCCGGCGATATAATATTTAAAATTAAGCAAATGCGTAATGGAACTGCGCTTTTTATTCTTTTATTAAACTAATAATTGCGATTTTCATGTGATTTTATGATCTCTAACCAGCAGTTAAAGCAATACTTAGATTATTCTAATTCTTTACTCAATGCTTGCGAATATTAATTAATCTTTAGATGTTTTTCCCGTGTAGATCTTTCGACTTATTGATCGTCAAATATTCAAACTCACGCATTGCGCAGAAGGGAGTGTCAGCATATGCGCAGATTAATTTACTTCATACTATCCAAATGATTTATGTGATGTAGGAAATATATTTTTTCTTGATAAATTGATATTATACTATATGACAATATGATGAGTGTTTATAATATTTTCTTTATCTATAAGAAAAGTTAAATTAATACATCCGATATACAATTTTAACATCTGTATTATATTTTTTTAGGTGACCAAATAGGTATTTGGCTGGAGCTAAAAACAAAAGATGATAATAAACTTTAAAAATCGATTGAAAGAACAAGACAAAATAGAAAAAATCTTAAATTATAGAAATGTTCTACTCGCTTCTTACTCTTTTTCTTATACATCTTACATGTTTCAAATGTTTTGAGTGTGTCAATGTCAAATTTGGCTTCTTTGACTTCTGACACAGTGACACACCATGATTAGCGCGGTTGATATGATTATTATTTTTGTTCATTATATTTGTTGTTAATGTAAAATATTGTTATACTTATTTATGATCTTACATAAATTAAAACCGAATTTATGCAAGTAATAAAGAACCGTAAAGATGTTAAACTCCGAAATTGACAAGCAAATCAAACTAATAAGAAAGTATTTAAAACTGAAGATTGTCGAGGATAATATAAACTTCAGGGGGCATGAAAATGAGAGAAAACACGTTTATGACATATTCATGAAGTCGATACAGCAGGGAGAATCACATTCGGCTTTGATTATTGGTCCCAGAGGCTGCGGTAAAACTACGGTAAAGTTTGGCACAGCTTTTACATATAATAAAAAAGTTAAACTCTCTGCCTTTCATGGGCCGTGGGGTGAAAACATCTTTCTGTCTTTTTCTTTGATCTTCTTTTTTTGAACCTAAGACGTCTGGTGGTTAGCGCAAAGATAGACAGAGCTTTAAAGAATTGAGTTACAGAAGTTATCTCTACATGTACCTCTTAGAGTAAATACTATGAATAGACATGATATAGAATAGAAGTACTTATTAGCTAGCAAGCTAATCATATTTGGAGCTAAAAAACTAAAGGTTTTGTCATTGTTAATGAAAAGCATTTTTTTAAATTTGTTGGTAAGAAGTCTTTTTTATTTCAGTTAATCAATTCTGTATTATATCAAGTATCAAATGAAGTGGACATGGAAAATGATGTGATTGTTGTGAAGCTCAATGGATTCCTACATCATGAAGAGAAAGTGGCACTTAAGTCAATAACAGCACAGGTTAGTTACAGGAAGAAAAATTAACTACAAAAAATGAATCCTAAAAATCATCTAATCTTATAAACACAAATTATTGTTTTCTAGATGCAACTAGAAAATGCAGTTGGCGATAGAGTTTTTGGTACCTTTGCAGAGAATCTAAGTTTTCTCCTCAGCTGTCTAATGAGCGGTTTGGATAGAAGATGTCGTACTATGATATTTATCCTTGAAGAGTTTGACATGTTCTGTCATAGTGGTCGAACACAGACACTACTGTATAACTTGTTTGATATCACTCATAACAAGCAAGCGCCCATGTGTGTTCTTGGTGAGTTTTCTTTTTAATTAATATACTGTATTATACACTATTTAGAGTGGTCTTAAATCTATTTTTATTATCCCATTGCTGGACATAGGTCTCTCCTCGTCTAGGAGAGAAGATTTTAGACCCACCACACTGCTTCAGTGCATTGGCAAACGTCAGCAACCACTTAATTTAATAAATCATTGACACACCCAAAAATCTCTATATCTTTCACTCTATACTTGAAAAATGTAAAAACATACATCCACACAAACAAAGGAAGAAAATATTGAATTTTGCCTCATACACAAATGTTTATGTACACTGACAACAGTAATTTAAAAATTCGCGTAATATCATAGTAGATACTGATATTTTAAATTTACTATCAAATAATATATCCCAACAATCCTGGACACCTTGTGTTCTCCCAAGTAAGGGCTGATTTTAATTCAATTTTGCAAATATGCTTACCACTGTCAATCACACTTACTATATAACGTTATCTGGCAGCACCCTGTATTTATGTGTCGTTAAATTTCTTTCACTTGCAAAAAAATAAAAGCTAAATTACAATCGAAAATCATTTATCCATGTAGGTAGTTAGGTACAATAAACATCAATAACTGTATTGAAAATTAACCTTTTATTATTCACTTATGATAACTTCTTATTAATTCGAGATCTGTTAACATTTTTTCAGGCATCACAAATCGACTGGATGTTATGGAGCTCTTGGAGAAGAGAGTAAAGTCTAGATTTTCACATCGCCACATTTTCATATTTCCCAATGAAAATGAGATGCCAGTGCAGAAATTAATTGATGTCTTCGTTCAATGTTTGAGTATGCCAAAATCAAGAAAAATTAAGAAGGCAAGCAAGAAAAGTACAGGTAAGCAGACTAACTCAGTGGGAATTTTTCATTATTAAGCTATAGTAATTGGATAAATTGGCTCAATTGGTTAAAGCTATTATATTTTTAATTTATAAAAATCAATTATAAATTTATATAATGCCATCATGTGAAAAATATTAAAGTTTACAAACATTAAAGTTAGTACTTTTTTCATCAATGATTTAAGCTGCAAAGCATAAGACATTGAGCCTTGAAGTGTTAAGGTTGAAATTGCATTGCGCGAGAGGTGCATGCATCAATAAATTGAAAAAATTCGATGATGACGTGTAGGACGTGGATGCCGGTTCATGTCCTGCCCGAGTCGTATTTTTTTTTTTAGTTTTTTACCACCACTCTGTTTATATATATTTTTATATTACTTTGGTATATTGTCAAATAAAATAAAATAATAACTTAGCTTATAGTTCGAGTTTGAACCCGTCAAAAGTGTTTTATTTCTATGTACACTGATTGAGTAAACTACAGACAATGCTCAGATCATATTAGTAACTTTATATATAAATTGTTTCTTTAGCTATTAAGGAAACCGTAAACTTGGAGTTTTCACTGCGTGAAGAAATATTTGAGAAATGCAACATAGACTCCAGACAATTTTTGGACTTAAATTCAGAATTTATCGAAAGCTGGAACTCGCATATCCAGAGTTTGGTGGAGGAAGAGAGAGTGGTGGATTATTTGGAGAAATTCAGCTACTTTGTTGTCAATGAACAGATCTTTAGGAATGTTTTGGTATGTGAATAATATGTCTTTGGAGAGGTATTTTATATAGGTTTTAGTTCTAATAGATTTTAGAAATATTTAAAAATTGATGACACAGACCCGAATCTACGACATACTAGAAAAAAGCATATAGTTCTATCGCTCTTCCATTTAACTTACCAAGTTCTTAATTGTCTACTGCTTCAAATTAGATAAAATCAGATTTTTTTTAAAACAGAGATGAATGGTATAACCCTACCTTTTTTTTTATTATATTAACTTAGAATATTTTGACATCCAAAGAGTGAAATACCATCCGATGGAGGGTAGTTCGTAAGCCGGACGCAATTTCGATATTTTTTACCAACAATTTAATAATCTGATTTTTCAGTTGAATATTTTCGAAAAGTAACATGTAAATTAATTTTCATTTTTTTTAGATACAGTGGGAATATAACCCGCTACCAGTTGATGGTCATCATACAAATTTTAACTTGATATTAAAAATTTCAGTTCCAAATAGTGTCGAAGCTATCGCCCAAGAAGCCGTACATAGACCCACAAGACATAATACTGACCATTGACAATACGGTCACCCCAGAGCATAGAGTGAAGCTTCTACAATCATTGTCTATACTCGAATTGTCTCTGGTCATAGCCATGATGCATGGAATGGAGATATTCGATGGGCAGCCGATGAATTTCGAAATGGTTTTGCACAGGTGAGACAAGAGTAAAAGTTTAAATATTTTTTTAAATTTCACACAAATAGTCGAATAGAGAACGTTAAGTAGCATATAATATGCAATTAAAAAGTTATCGTTTAAAATAAAAACAATTATTAAATATATTCTGCTTAAGCAAAGACTAATGTTTCTTTTTTGGCGCCATCGGTCTATTTTTCTTTCTTTTCAAAAATATACCAATTGAAACTAAACGTAAAATAGCCGACAAGTGGCTGATAGCGCATCTAGTTTACATGTATAACTGGGGTATTTCAAGTGTTATACTAATATAACGACTTTTTTATAACAGAGGAGGGCAAAACAAGCAAGATTCACTTGATGTTAGGTGAAATATGCCGACCATATAACATCTAAACAAGATGGGTTGTCGACCTATGTTGGCTTTGGATATTCGGAAATCCATAGAGTGAAACCGAAACGCGATTAAACTTGACGGCTTTTAACGGTTTCCTACCACCCATTTAATATCCGGATTTCCAGGCGACGACGAAGATGTTAAAGAAAAAATGTAATTTAATTAGAAACATTTAAATAAAACACTTTAACGGTTTAAAACGCGATATATTAGTTAAACTTATTTGAAAATGATCGTCTCCCCGTGACCACGGCTGCAAAGCATCCGAAACGTCGGGCCGAAGTTAAAAATCATTTTCAAATACATAAGTTTAACTAATATATCGCGTTTTAAACCGTTAAAGTGTTTTATTTAAATGTGTACTACTCGCGTAAACTATAGACAGTATTTAATTAGAAACATGTTGGATCCGGTGAGGATCCACGACCCGGTCATTATTAGTCTTACATTTCCACCATTACACCGTCGAACCCGTCGAATTAAACTCATATTTACTCTCCTATAGATACACGAAGTTCGCGAATGAGAACTCGTCTACCCAATCCGTGCCTCGGCCGGTGATCCTCAAAGCATTCGAGCATTTGCAGTCGTTGGAAATCATTATGCCGATAAGAAACGACTCTTCGTCAGGCGACACCACCACTAGTCGTGTGCAAAAGGAGTATAAGCTGTACACCTTGGCTGTACCCGTCGAAGACATCAAGGAGGCTGTTAAGGGCTTCAAGGCTTTGCCAACGGAAATACAGCACTGGGCCAACAACTCCGTGGTCTGATGAAGTAATGTGGTACAGTTCTCTAATAATTAAATACGCTCTGTTTACGCGAGTAGTATATTTCAATAAAATGCTTTAACGGTTTAAAACGTGATATATATTGGTTAAATTTATATAGGAATTATTTAACTACGGCTCGACGTTGCGGATTGAAGGTACTTCAAATAATATGCAAATAAGTTAAACTAATATATAACGCCTTTTAACCCGTTAAAGTGTTTTATTTAAATGTATTAAACGCACTTATCATTGATTTCGATATCAACCATAGAACTTGAAATTACCAAAAAAGATGACAATATGAAATTTGTATACTTTTTACATACAAGCTTTTACCGGTTTAAAACACGAAATATATTAGTTAACCAAAACTATGTTTCGGGTGCTTCGTAGTAGCTGGGGTCAGTTCGTTTTTAGAATATCTAAAAATTTCGCGTTTTAAACCTTTATGTGCCAGTCCAACTTGTAAGTGCTGGTTTTAATAAAACTTCTCTTAACTCTATACAAAACAATTTATCATTTGGTCAACTTTCACCAACATTTTGGTTCTTGTTTGTGTCTATTTATTTGTATGAATGTGTTATTTAATAAAATTTTAAAACTATTGGTTTCTTTGTCATTGTGTTCAAAATTCACATCTATTATTTATTTATTTCTTTGAAATAAAACACTTTAGCGGTTTAAGACGCGATATATTAGTTAAACTTATTTTGCTTAGCCGAAGCCTATTATGCCGAAGTTAAAAATCATTTTCAAATCAGTTTAACTAATATATCGCGTCTTAAACCGTTACAGTGTTTTATTTAAATGTGTACTACTCGCGTAAACTATAGACAGTATCTATTATTTATATTTTTATTTCAACAAGTATTATTTTATTATATTACATATAAACTAAAATTGCACTAGCGCTGCCCAAAAAATATAAGCAGTAATATTGCTTATCCTTTTTAAAACAAGCATTCATTCAATCCATTTAAAAGTCGGCGTCGCTAGCCCACTTCTAATCACGTCACTCTTATAATCGTCCTCAACTATTCTATGCCTAAATCTATCTTGACTCGCATTAACTTCGCCCCATTCATGAATTTCAGCCACACTCAACTCCTTAAACCTCCTCCCTTTTAAGTCTTCGATGTTCTTTCCGCTATTCCTAATGTCACTTTTCCCGCCATTTAACTCGTGCTCCATAGAGTCTATGACGCGGTGCAAGTCGTTCTCGGGGTTGCCAGGTCGCTTGTTAAGAAAACCGTTGTTTTTGAACGTCGAGGGTTCCGTTGGCACTTCTATTTCGAAAGCTCGGTTCGTAAATAGTTTTAGGTGGTTTTTGCTTCTCTGTTTCTTTAGCTGGTACGATAGAATAGGTTTTATTACACTATTTATAGTTAAATATCTATCATTTTTCTAAGAAATCATTTGAAATAAACCATAATTGAGGCCGCTAGAGACAGAGTAGCCTAACTGCAATTTTTATGACTACAGTTATTTATATTTTCGTAGCCTAAAAATGTTAATGTACTAGAGCACAGTGACGAAAAATGTTTAAAATATTTTTTACACAAATTCATTTTCGCCTTAGTTAAATGTGCATTTTTATTTTCCTCCTTATAGAAAATCTTGTTTTTTGTTGTTAGACCACTCTGCCTCTAGCGGCCTAAAATTAACTCACCTCGCTAAGTTTGTCTATGATCATTGTGTGGCCAGTATTAACCCCGATTCCGCCCACTTCCTCTATGCTATTCGATTTGTGGAAAGGTCTTAGCGCTGATACAGCTCTTGAAACTCCAACCTAAGAAAATAAATAATGAGGATGGTCAAAGTATGGGAAAAAATGTTACTGTTTATTTGTTACTTGTCAATAGCTAAGCTATCCAACCGTTGCCAAAAATGCCCAAAATGAAGTAAATATTTAAATAAAACACTTTAACGGTTTAAAACGCGATATATTAGTTAAACTTATTTAAAAATGATTTTTAACTAATACCACGGCTGCTGCGAAGCATCCGAAACGTCGGGCCGAAGTTAAAAATCATTTTCAAATAAGTTTAACTAATATATCGCGTTTTAAACGGTTAAAGTGTTTTATTTAAATGTGTACGACTCGCGTAAAGTAAAGACAGGAAACAAATTTATGTACAGCCGGCAGATCTGTCACAATAAATGTAGCTATGCATCATACGGTAATAAAACTATTTCAAGAAGCAAAAGTCAACTTCGATCAGATGTAAAAGAGTTATTTTTTTCATACAAAATAAATACATAGAAATTCAGAAAACGACACGCACTTTGCAGTTATCATGATTGTGATTCCATTGTCCTGATGTTTTTTATTGATTCGATAAAAAGTCCTCGCGGCTAAACTACTTAACCAATTTTAATGAAATTTGCTAGTCACGTTCTAATAAATGTATTGTGATAAGTCTGCCGGCACCTGTATAACTATTTTAACACAATGTGTATACTTGTCCATGTCGTATCCTATGTTCCGTCAAATCCGCGCCCAGTAACTCATCATAGGGGTCCATCCTGATCGGAAGTACCTTGTCAATAAGCCACAGAAGTATCATAGTTACTAGACCCGCCCAGACCATAAGGCAGATGGCGGTCAGGGTCTGTACTCCGAGGAGGTACCAACCCCCACCTAAAACCATAATTTATAAGGTGATAATAAAGAACGATGAAAAGAAGAAGAATGACGAAATAAACAAACCTTTGAATAAGCCAGCTCTACCATTGGTAGTTTCCATCGGTATTGGGTTGTCAGCGAATAGTCCAACGGCTACCACGCCTACAACCAATATATTTATTTTGAGCAGTCAACCATAATTACGTAACTTTTCGTAAGCTTTACAGCAGCCGTGTCTTACTTTTTAGTACTTATGTCTTACTTAATAAAACAAAAGTACTATATATCGCGTTTTAAACCGTTAAAAAGATATAAAACTTTAATATTATCCACAGGATGACACACAAAAATTAAAAATCGATTTTATATTTAATTTTGTTACGACGGTTAACTGGTAGAATATATTTCGTGGAGTCGACAATTATATCTTCACAAATATATACGTATATAGTTTTCCAGTAATATAATTGTTTTTTTTTTACATTGACTTAATAAGGGTGAGCGGGTCACGGTAGATCAATTGGCAAGGCAGCAGCACTGATTTTTCAATGTAAAAAGAATTCAATTCAAGATTACGCGGTCGATCTTTAATAAATCAAATGTCAATCATCAACATCATGAAACACTCAATCCTTAATACACCTACCCCAAAACCCACAAGCGCCATGGACTGCAGATGCTCCGACTGGGTCATCCACGTGGAGCCTGTCGAAGAGCGTCGCGCTAAGCGATGATATCAAAGCCCCGATCATTCCAATAAGCAGTGCTTCCCATGCACGGTACAGGAAACAGCCAGCTGTTGGAAAATACCCAACACGAAATAGTCTGCTGTCTACTTAAGTAGTACACATTTAAATAAAATAAAACTGTAAAAAATTTAAAACGCGATGTATATTAGTTAAACTGTCGTTAAAATAATTTTCAAATAAGTTTAACTAATATATATCGCGTTTTAAACCGTTAACGTGTTTTATTTGAAAACACCCAAAATATTAATTAAGCTAATAGAAGCTCAATATGCCATGGAGAGAGCTATGCTCTTCTTTTATTATCATTATTATGTCTGTTAATTGACGGGCTCGAAGGTGTAATAGTAGAAATATACGGATATTATCAGGTCGTTGGTTCGATCCCCACCGGGTGCCAAATTCTTCATCTGCAAATCTGGCTACTAAATGGGTGGTAGGAATAGGTCGAAGGTCGGAATTCCGTCGGGGTCACGAACCACCGTCTACAGATTAAAAACCTGTGAAGTTTCATCGCATCGCGTTTCAGTGCAGTTCTTGTTTAGATGACATAGGCTTTGATATTTCACCAACCATCAAGCGAATCTCATGCTTTTCTGGCCCCTCTACCTTTAAAAAAATATGTTTTGGCCAGGGCCCTTAATACTAACCGGACGTTTGGCCTTCTTTCGGCAAGACTAAGAGTATCCCGAGGGGGGCATCGGCCTGTCCTTGGACCGCCGCAGCTTGAAGAGCTGGACGGAAGGAAATCATACGCCAAAGAACTAAAGTAACGGATCTTACCTGTAATGGAGACCAGGGATCCCAGAACACTATTGATCAAGTCCAGCACGTCAGCTCGGCCCTTGTTCTTCGTTAGAGTGAATCTGGTGTGCAAAAAAATAAAGAACACTTTACCAAATAAAGATATCTAAATGTGTCTTTACATAAAACAATTTCAATTACGCGCTAATCTGAGGAAGTACGGGTTCGAATTGAAAAATTATTTTTGTATTGGTAAGAGCATTTATCGAGAAAGGATATAGGTTATAACACATCGCGATGTGACTTATAGGAGCGAAGAAAGAGCGGGCAATGTGGAAAAAACGGGAAAAAATATTCATCATTATGGGATACCGAGGGGTACGCTGCAAGAACGGTTCAAGATACCCAAAAAATATTTATGAAAGAATGGTTCCTCTTTAAATGATCTAAAAAAAACTTTTGATGATCCGCGACGCTATATGCCTTTCTTAAAGATTAACCTGTAAGAACGACGGTAAGGGACGCGAAAGATGTCGTGGGTAACAGCTTGAGTTTATAAAGATGACGGGGTTTGCAAAAATGAATTTTGAAGCCCAAAATAACAACCCTCGCGGATGAAATCGATGACACACCTAGTAATATAATATTTAATATATACTTATATAAAGATTAATATTTTTCACGTGTTGACGGCCGAACAGCTGGAAACGGCAAGTACTTAGCTGATAACATAATGACATTGAACCTTCATCGAATAGTAATAAAATATTGATCAAATGAAGAAGCTTCTAACCTAAAAAGATGTTAAGTTACGTTTTATTAAAAGTACTTACATCAACCCAAAAAAATCCTCCTCCAAAGGATCCCATCATCGTCATGACGGCGGCTCGTGCTGCATATTGCCATTTTGCTCCGCTTACCTTTAAAATACACAATTTAATACTCTGATTGATAATTTAGATTACTTTGTAAGCGTAAGATAGCAAATACCGTAAAAAATCGAAAAGTGCGCGAAACGCGTTTTAAACTGTTAAAGTGTCTTACGTGTTAACCTGTACTTAAAACCTTCACTTGAACAGGCACAGAACTGCGTCTCCTTCATACAAGGAAAACGATATGTCACACTATTAAGGGCATTGGAAGATTGGTAAAAACAAAACAATGTAGGTAATACGTAGATTTCATCAATATTATTCGGCTGAAGTATTTCACCCCGCAAAAAGCCAACAACATGTTTGTCTACCCACGATTTTTTTTAAAGTAAGCTTTCCCAAATAAATTTATTTATTGTTTTCTCAAGTATCGAATCTAGGACATCGTTATTGAAGCTAATAATGCATGAAGGTACAAAAGCCTTTAAATATTCAACCTATAATTAAGGAAATGCTCGGCTACATGTAGAATTTAAAAGCGGTGCTGGAAAAACAGTTTAAGTTGCCGATTAGCTAACAATGCGAAATGTTGATTCAATTTGAGATGATTAACGTAATGTCGCTACAACAAAATGGCCGTCATTTGTTACACGGAAGGATAATGTGCTAAAATTAGATTTTTTCTACGTTGAGTTTTAAAAATTCTGTACTTCGTAAGCGTGTTACAAAAAGCGACACTTACGTAAAACAATGGACAATTAAACCGTTCCCGCATTGAGACCAAGTTGTTACGATTTAGACTAATTCGTTTTTCATACTATCAAGATACGTCCGAAATAACTCGATCTTAATCCATTATTTAATTTTTTAATTTAATTATTTCCAATTTATGCAATTGGCTTAGGGCTTTTTAGTTGTAGTTAATAAATAAATAATTCTCCATCTTAAATTATTGCGGTGTGAAACCCTGTAGAACCTGGGACGAACGCATTTTTTTGACTTTTGACTTTAAAATATTGTTAAGGACAAGACCTTTTTAATAATTAAGGGAAAGTGATCCATTTCCCCTGTCAGGCTTGGGGCGAACACATTTACAGACAAGTCGTTTAGACTTCTGTGCCCTGCCCGACCGAATCTATTGCCCGGGATTCGAACTCAGGACCTGGTGTTTAACGCAACGCTGCCTACAGGTTTAATCATTTAGCTACAAATGCTTTATTTAATAATAATAATAGAAATATCTTCGAAATTAAATTTAAACATCCCCTGCTATTATCGAAGGAGCAAAAAACAATTCGAAATTTGAAACAAACGCAGAAATATGTTTCTGCCCTTTGTATTGTTTACTTACCCCGTACGTGCTGCCAGAATTAAACGCAAGCCAACCCCACCACAGCACGAAAGTGCCCATCACAGCATTGACTGGGTTTCCGAGGGGCAGGGGAGCGTAGCCCTTTGCGTATCGTCCCAAACGTGGTCCCAACATCAGAGCTGATGCAAACGCTGAAGATCCACCTTGACAGTACCATGTATCAGTTAACTTCTGTCCAATCATTCCGGAGATACACCGGAAAGAATAGACAGGCATACTAACATATTTACAAATGAAATTGTTTGCTATTATTGTATGAAATCACTTTTGAAAAGATACCTAACGTCGCGAAACTTGTCACATTTTTCCACCATTTGGGAAGAATTAAGGTCTGTTGAAGTAAGCATACCTATAAGATGCACAGGACCGGAGCCAGCGATGTCGACAGCACCCAGCTTATTAAGAAACCCGTGTTCGCCCCAAACCCAGCCAGCTGGGACGCAGTAAACTAGCGTGTTCAGAAACGAGAATAAACAGTATGCTTTGAAGTTGCATCTGAAATATATGCAAATTAATTTTAAACTAAAACAACACAAATATTTTAACATTTTATATGCGCCGGCGCAGAAGACCATTTTTTGATAGAGGATAGGTGGAGTTCAATCGGAGGAAGGCGAACATGTAACAATATGGCTGCGATATTCGCCTTCCGTCAAGTTGTCGACCTATTCTGGCTTTGAATATTCAAAAAAGTACTTAACTCACCTTTCCGCCATAGCCCCACTGACTATAGTTGTCGCAGTGGTAGCAAAAGACAATTGAAACAGGAAAGAAGCAAACACGGGGCCCATCAATGCGTCGCCCACTGGTGGGTCCACTAAGAAGTCTCCCACTCCGACGAACGGATTCGAGTAGGGCCCTTGACCGAACGACAGGCCATAGCCGAAGATCCAGTATGTCAGACCTGGAGAAAATATAAATGTAATGCAGAGGAAATTTTTAAGACTTCTGGTCAGTAATTCCTGTATAAAACAATGATTATCTAATACTTATTGTTGAACTTGATGTTTATTTTCCTCGCCATTTTCTTTAGTAGGTATTTTTTTGGAGAAAAAGTAGATCCTTTATTTTTTATAAACTGAAAGGATGATAATTTTACGCGCAGAATATCCCTAAGGCTTATCCAAGTTAACAATTATAAAAGGATGACTAAGCAAAATGGTTTTAAAACTTTTTTTTTGCACATGATGGCACTTGTATAAAAGAAAGTTTATTTAAATTAAAAAAATATTAAGAAACTTCGCTCGGCAACACATCAGTCACACTGCAAGGAGGCCAGTTCAAGTCCCGCCCGTGTCATTTTTAATTTATAACATGCGATAAACATACTTAAATATTATTTTAAGCTTTGCAGTTTTTGTTGTGCGAACAAGACCAAGTTAGACTTACCACCGAGACATATATCAGCAAGATTCTTCATCATAATGTTGGCTTCGTTCTTTACAGAGACGCAACCTGACTCCAACATACCGAATCCTAAAAAAATATTTGAATCAGCTTACACAAAAATGTTTGCCTTGATAAGTTAAGTTTAAGGTTATTCAAAATTAATTCAGTTATTTTACCATAATAAGATGAGAGTATATGTACGTTTTTCTTATAAGCTTCCGAAAAGTAGATTTTTCTAAACTATATATACTGATACGTACGGGTACTCGTAAGATTTATCGAATTCAGGTAAATTACTATAAATTGAAAAGGTCGAAGATTCAAAATTTTGTTTTCAACTAATCTAGTACAATACTAATTGCCTAGTTTACACCAGAAATAAACACCAGAAAGTAGAACTTTATACTTAATTAATTGTTTTTTTTTTTTTTGTTAAAATAAAATATATTTTTTTACATAAAAGAGAACAATAATATTAAATTATTTTTCTGGAGGGACACCGCTTTGCTTTTGTTGTAAAATCAAGCATAACGTTGAATTTCTGTTTTTCCTAACATTTCCATGCTTTTTTAAAGAGGGAAAGTTAAAACGAAAAATGGTTATTATGTTTATCAGTTTCCTTGAGTTTGCGTATTGTGAAATATAAGGATATTTAAAGGTTTATGTGAGAGTCTGCCTTGAAAAATACAGGATAATTTTGTGAAAATATTTTTCGTCCTACTTATAACACATTGAGTACTTCTATTAAACAGTTTTATACTAAAAATGAGTTCCCCTTTATAGCACCAAGGTGCTGTAAATGTGCGTTTAAAAGATGTTAAGACAAAGGTCATTAATAACACTTTTGTCTGTGCATTCCGGTAGGAACATTTCTACACACTATATAATAAGAAAAAAAAGAACATTAAACAGTAACACAAAAAGAAAATAATAATAATTTACTTCACACGAATGAATATATATTTTGTTTTAATTAAATAGAAATTATTTAATAATTTTGTTAAGAAGTCCCATCAACATACATTATAGCATATAGACTATAGACAGTATTTAAGTCCCATCGAGTGTCTCTCTACTCCATCATCCGAACATCATATACTCCGAACCGAATCCGAGCCTACGCCTTAAAATAAAACACTTGAACTGTTTAAAACGCGATTTTAGTCAAACTTGCTTGAAAACTATCTTTAACTACGGCCCACCGTTTCGGATGCCGTGCCGATATCGACCACGGCTGCTGCAAAACAAGTTTAACTAATATATATCGCGTTTTAAACCGTTAAATGTTGACTACTCGCGTACACTAGTACAGTATTAAGTGCCTACGCTTTTAAAGGTTCTTTCGTTTTCTCTTGTCTGATATCATCACTGCTTTCATATAATAGGAAAACCTAGGAAATGTCCACTTTTCAAAAAAAATAATGAAAAGGAAGTTATGAAAGAATTTATGTTTATATATATATATAAACATAAAAAAGCGATTACGAATTGAATAGAGAACCTACTTTTTTATAAGTAGGTTAAAAATAAAATCGTACGTACTTTATGATACGTAAAGTATAATATTATATATACATTTTTAATGTCTTTAAAACGTCAATGATATTGCTCTATTGTTGTACGAAAATTAATTTTAGCTATCAAATATCCATCTTCATTACATTCTATATTTATTGTCTATATTCCTGTCTTTGTAGTTAACACGTCGGTCATGCTATAGAGGTGGTCCGTCGTTGGGTCTTTTTATTATCTAGTTCTTTAAGATGGAAAATTTTAATTGCATTGTCATTAGTAGTTTTGTTATATTACAATTTATTAATTTACGTCATTTCATCATGTATTTTAAATTGCTATATACATAAAATAATATCATTTATTTCGTATCATTGTTGTATCATTCAAACCAATCGAGCAGGCACTCTCATAGTTTATAAGAATAATCTCTTACCAGTCTGCATGGTGAAAATAATAAACGCCGACGTCAAAATCCAGTTGGTATCCTCCAAATCAATTTCGAAGTTTTCCTGCAAACTAACCGTCGTGTTTGTTAAGTTTGGCGAGCGCAGTCCAACATGATACGTCCAGTTGGATTCCATTTTGTTCCTTTAAATACGTTTTACTCAAAATTAAGAAACGAAAACCATATTAAATTCGTTAGTATTTTAGGAAATACTTGTTAATTAAGGTTTTTGTGACACGCCCGTTCAACAACACGGCGAGTCTATGAATGAAATTAGCATTTCTGTTTTCCTTCGGTTTCAGATTCTCAGTCATTACCGTAAATTGAGGCTGTGCGACACTATACAGCGTGGTACAAAAGTAATGAATGATAAAGTGTTGTATTCATAAACGTCTTTAAGATTACTTCTTAAAATAGATCTTATTCGTGCCTTACAATTTAAAGATGGCTGGATGTTTAACGAGCCTTCACGTTTATTAGGCTGTATTCGACTCATTTTAAACTTACACTGTTAAACGTAAAGATGTCAAGCGTTGGCTTAATGTCAAATATATTATATGGGCTATACCTATGTACTTTAAAGGTTATAGGTATATTTTATCTAGGCTTAGGCTGTTGTTTAAGCTGCACGTCGACACCTTAATACATCTATGAATAAAAATCGACTAGCAACTAACTCTGATACATTTCTGTCCTTTAGACATGTGACTGTGTTTATTTTGTAAAAAGAGTGCCCACAATAATTCCAAGAAGTGTATTTTATTTACTCGCGATCTCGTTTAAGATGTACCATGTTGATGTATAAGGGACAACATTTAGTAGATACATATCGTCCCTAATTTGAATGATTTTTATATCTTTATTAATTATGTTTTACCGTTTTAATTGATTTTTAATGGATTTGTCACGAGTAGGTATATCAATATTGATAAAATATTAGTTGTTGTATTTTCCTTTAATTAAATTGGCCTTTACGGAAAATAAGGGTGTCTAATACAAAAGTAGCCTCATTTCCTTTAAAGGTTTTCAATAATTATAGTTCTTAAATTAAAAAATATACTTAGGTATAGCCTAGGTTTGCTCGTAGATTGTATGTTTTAAAAGCAACGCCAAATTTATTTAGTGGCTTAGTGCTAATAAATATCAAACCCGATAAGTCACACCCATAGTCAAAGAACTATGAATGGCGCTAAATTTGAAATTTACTGTTTTATGATACTTATTCCAAATCACGGTAAGTCCCAAAAAATCACAAAACGAAGGTTAAAATCGACGATTTATTTCAAACTCCGGTATGTCTATAGATAAGTTAAAATCAAACCAAGTAAGTCCACAGACCAAACACAAATATAGGTCAAGATGGCTGTTAGTTAGAAGATTGTTGTGAGAACTTACACTTCGTGTCGTCTATTTATTAGATTGTTTGGGGAAAATAATAACAATAAAATTTGTGTGTGAATCCTGAAAAAAAAGAGATTATGTGTCAAATGTTAAGAAGAATAATGTCGAAAAGAAGGTAAAAAGTAAAGCAAATCCTAACGTAATAGTGGTTTGTTGCAACCGTAATTTTGAAAACCAGGGTTGTACAAATTTAAGAATTAAACATTTGAATTTATATTTTTTTTTCTATTAAAATGTATGTATGTGTGTGTGTATCATTTAAAAGGTTCTTTCCATTTTGAGATAAGTAAATATTGTAAACGTATTATCGAATACGAACGTATAAACGAAATAGTGCTTCGTTATTAGAAAAAGGAAAAAGTATGATCAATATTCATACTCAAATATCCTCTATATGAGTTCCTTCTATAAAATAGAAGATATAAAAAATATTTCATAAACATTCACTACTGGTATCACATCCCTCAGTTGAAATATTATACAAATATCTTGCAAAGTAAAGAAAGTTGGTGACAGGGAAGAAGACATAATAAATAATTCCGAAGACTATATCATGGACGAGATCTTAGATTTTGTTTTATTAATCTACTAAATTAAACTACTACATGGTAATAAAAAAATCTGTGTTTTATTTTACGGTTTAGTAAAATATTATGATGAAGAACCTAATTACGGATTAATATAGATTTGTCAAAACAAGTAAGTCCTTAGCTATTTTTTATACCCGTACGTCAAGTGGTATTTTTCAAATCCAAATTTTTAGTTTAATCAAAACCATATTCCAAATTAAATGGTTTTAAAATAATATCTTATTAAAATTTATTTTTATATATTCCTATACTCATAACGCCTATATAAATCCCCAATTGCTGAAATTTCCATGAAATACAGAAACAGTAGCTAAAAAACATTTTCTCTTTCCCAAGTTTCGATGGTGGACATACCGTGATTTGATATTTGCCTACACGCTTTAAGTAGCTTAGAGGCAAGTGTCAGATTAATCGCTTGTATGTTAAGAAAATAGAGCAGTGAATGAGATGCGGAAATGTGTCTGACCCATGCCTCACATATGGGTACGTTAGTTGGGAATTTCAAAAGTACCATGGCACTGCAAAATTAAGATGTGTATATCGTTGAATTCGTCATGAAATTTTGGTTTTTCATCCTCTTAAGACCATACATTCCTAAGTATATGGTGTTTTCCGCTTATGATAGTACTGAAGATTAACCTACTTTTCATGCTAATAAGGTCTTCAATATAATTATTTAGCAACATTTCGTGATAACTAAGCTTTCGAAGGTAAATTGTTTGTTATCATTTTGCGAGTAATTAAATTAATTATGCGGGTTTGAAAACTGTGTATTTTTGGCGCCAAGGTTTAATGTCAAGATCAGCTGTCAAATTATTTACAGATAATTAATTGATAGCTAGTTCAACCGTTAGTGGTAAAGATTACCTATCTATTATAACCACAGGAAAAGAATAATGTTCTACAATAGATAAGAAATGATTTAATGGCGCTTTGATAAAAGCGCCATCTAGTATGGATTGTTTGAACTAGTCAGTTACATTGCAGGTGATATTGCTACTAAATAATAGATGACACTTTTATAATAATCAAATTGTTTTTCTTTTTGTCGCTAAATGGCAGCATTAATACTGTAAAAAAATTTGTTAATTGTTCATTTAAAGGAGGTAAGATTACATAAGCTTACTATTACAAGATGTTGGTATTTTATAAAGTGTAATCATAAATCTGTTTTTATACGTTTGCGAGGCATTCCACAGTAGTTATTGTAAATATTTATCCTGATTTAATTTGAAATAATATCTTATACGCTCCACGAATGTAAAATATGCACAAAATAAAAAATTACCAATGTCAAAATGTATATTCTTTTCTAATACAAAATCATAAGAAGTAGGTATTGTGTAGGTACCTATAGTTAACGCAATTGAAAAGCGAAATATATTAATTTTTTTTTAATGAATTAAGTTTCTGAGATCAGAGATCCGCATGACCACGACTACTGCAACATCCGAAACGTCGGGTCGTAGTCGAAACACATTAAAAATACGGTCACTAATATATTTCGCGTTATTAACTACTAAGTACTTAGGTATAGTTTTGTCGCATGTAAGTACTATCCTTCAACTAAAGTTAGAACTTTAAAAAAAAAGAGATTTGATTCAATTAATCGTTTGGTAGAACCGTTTCTTTATTCACTTGTTTCTAGTGCTAACTAACAGATTAAACTATTAGAATGTTTCCAAATTTGCCCCCTTTTAATCTGTGATATCAGGATGTGTTAAATGTTATTAAATTAATTCTATTAAACTCACTCTACATATTTATGAATCTATATTAATTTGTGCGAAGAACTTAGGTACTTAATTTTACAGTTGGTTGTATTTTTTGTTATTTGGTTTTATCTAGACATTAAGGGGACACACACGTACATCGTATTTGAGTCAATAAACCATTTTTTTTATGTTACTGCACATGCCATTATATACCCAAATGAAAAATCTAAGTATTTAGTTGGAAAATGTTTTTGAGACAAGGTATTTCATTTGTTGTAGCAGTAGCACGGATCGTTGTCATCGAATTTTTACAAGTTTGGCTTTAAATCAATAGAGTATTCTAGTATTTTAATAAAATAATATCGTAATAATAGTACATATTTATTGTTCCGCCTTCTAGGAGCCGTAGATTCGAAACTATAATATATATCATAATTAATTTGGTCTCGACAGAAAAGACTTAATTATCATAAAAAAATACCTACCAAGAAAGTTACTTTAGGTAAATAGTGTTTTAGTAAAGGAAAAATGCAACACTATTTCAAAGTAGGTACATACCTACTAGCCGTAGTTAAAATAAATTGTTAATAAATCAACTAATACATTTCGCGGCTTAAACGGCGTCAAAAGCGTTTGATTTAAATTTTAAACATAAGTCTTATTCAAGTAATGTATTGAGTGTTTAACTGTGATTTATTTATGGAAAATTTTGAGCTCCTTGTGAACCTCCCTTTTAATAACTAAATAAACGACGTAATTATAACGTGACTTAAAGAAATTAAGTCCTATATAAAAACACGTATTACGGTCTTGTTTTGTGTAATTGCGCCTCATAAATAAATAACACTTTAATAACTCTAGGTAGAGATAATAACAAGCAATAAAAAGCGTTCAAAAAGATTTTTTTTGCTAACCGCAACAGATAAGACTTTTATAATCTCAACGTTGAAGGAAAACATTCTCTATTTCAAGGCAATAAAATCTAAAATACGTAGAACCTGATTTTTCATAAGAAAACCTACGTAAAATTGAAATGTTTCTCTCATAGAAGAAATTAAGTCTAAATTTCCTTGAAACAGTTTCCGACATTCGAAATTATACCGTGATTGTATAAATATAAAGTTCAATGTTGAACGGGACTTAATTATAAAAGAATATACCGACAAACAACAGCATACCTTATGCTGTACATATTGAGTTCAATTTGCTTTGAGCGAAGGCATTAAGGACTCCCCCACACGTATCAAGGCGTGGTCACCTCATCTCGCAAAGCCAAATTCATTCAGTCAGCATCAGACGTTCGAAATTCAAAGCGTGATTTTATTCCGCGTCGTGAGTGGCCAGTGACATTCGAAAATGGAATCGGAAACCAAACAAACGAAGATCCCGCCGAAGAACTTCTCGATAGAATCGATCGTCGGCATCGATCGCCGATCGCCCGAAATCGATATCGAGAACAATATCGATTTTAACGATGACGAAGTGAAGAAAGTGGGCTATTATTTTCAAAATCGAGTGCCGAATTTCCCGTTTTTCATGTATGAGAAGCGGGGCGAATTCCAGGGGGAGGACCTGAAGAGGGCGAGCCCGGGAAGTGTTCGAAGCGAAGTGGACAGCGACGGCGCGGAGGAACGGCCGCACGGTAAGTCGATAAAAAATTATAAAATTGTAAAATTATTATACCTTACAATCGAAGAGTGGCGGCGAGTTTCTTGCCAGTTCTTCTCGTGTCGCATTAAGAAATTATATATTAAAAAATATATATTCGCTTTAAAAGCTAAAAAAGCGTAGTAAATAACGTAGCTTAGGCAATATATTTTGAAAACGGTTTACAAAAGTTTTGTAACATAAGTTTCTTATTTCCATGTTAAGTAAGTTATTAAAAAAGTTAATGTTAATAAACCTAACTTGTTATTACAAAAAGAACGGAAAGAAATTCTATGTTAGTAAAGGTAAAAAGTAAAATTTAATCATTTGACCTGACCCGAGATACAGTCAGAGCATTGACATTGGTAGAGCAAGAAATAAATACGTTTTTTGTAGTAGGTACCTACTCATAAGTACCTACCTACCTAGACATCCTAACCAACGGAAGGTAAATCTTGATTTACCTTCCGTTGGTTGGCTAAATTATTATTTCAGTGAATATCGACCCAACAAAATCATTAATGTGTATTTTTTCTCTATATTTATTAGTGCGTATGTAACTTACACTCTTATATACTTATATAAAGGGAAACTTAATTCTATACCTAATACAGGTAGGTAATACCACGTTATGACTTTAGTTCTTAGCTATTTTTGTGTGCAGATTTTAAATAAATGGTATTATTAATCTATTATCTTACGAGAATATTTCACAATATTAAAAGCTGATTGAAGCAAGTAAAATAGGTATATTAAGCGGGTTAGTTAAACCTAAAACACTTAGTGGATAGTAATAAGCTACGAGGCAAATTCTATGAACTAAGGTGACATTAGGTTTGTGGTAATTAAGCAGAATTACCGTTGTAAAACAATAAAATGGGCTCTTTCCATTATTATTTTATATTTTTATTGCCTAACGGGACCCGGCGGTGACAACTTTGTAACTTTGTTAAGTTCCGACGCGAGATACCTACTACTAGAGGTGCAAAAAATCTTCGAGACATCCTTAGTATTGTTTTAGATAACAAACTTATTTGTAATTTTTCATCAATTCGATTTTAACCGGGTCATCAATGTTTTATGATAGTTTTTTTTTCCGAACATGTAACACCTATTATGTTACATGTTCGGAAATCTGAATACCTATTAAATGGTTGGTCGGAATAACGAAATTACGTCCGGAATCAACCGTCTACGATGTAATAGCCGTGAAGTGCAAAAGTGTTTATATAGCTTCAGTCCGTAGATTTCCAGGCTCAATGGCTTCACAGCTTGTCAAAATGTTAGGTAGGTATATGGCTGGGGTATTTTACCTTTCATCAAGTGCTTATCCGTCAATGTTGTTTAACAACCCTTTGGTTTTTTAAGTGTTCAAAAATGTCTTAAAAAATATTATACATACTCTTATTCTACATTTGTTAGGCACCAAAGTTAATTTTTCACGTAAATTCTAGATTCAAGTCTTGTTCATATATATTTTTTTACCTTATCTGCTAATCGTTATATGACTTCTGTATAAGAACGGGTCTATCGTTTGTATTTGAGGATCGAAAGTTAATCAAATATTAAACAGTTAAAAAATATTAGGGTCGCCTCCCTTGTTGACACTTGTCACCTTCCACAGATTATAATATTTGCAAAATATTTGTATCATAACTTTATTAGGGGTGACACCCTCCTTGGCTCAGTCTTGTTAATCCATTATACTTTATAACGTGATTAAATCTCAATCAAGTTGTTAACTATGTTACTGAAAGGAATGTGTTTTACGAAAATTAGTGATTGCAAAATTAAGTACATCTTTCCCAAGCCTATTCAAATATGAGACCGTAATAGTTTTCTTATACATTTTTAAGCGTTATAAAAAATATTTCTTGCAGTTTTTCATACTGTAAAAAAGATGAGAATAATTTGCATTGCGATAATATTTCAATTTTACACGATTTATAATGAAAACCTTTGACAACAGAATAAAGTAGCAGTTCTTGCGAAAACAAAAACGAAACTTCACGGTTTAATTAAGACAAATAATTTTCGCTCCTACCGCGAACGGTAGCAATCTTTTTCAATTGGTATTATCTTTAAATAATGGATTCCCGCCATTTTGACGCAGCGTGACACATTTTGTCAAACTCACCGCTAAGACAATGCGGCCGTAGACAATAGACTTCCCTCAATGTTGCCATACAATTGTTTGCTCAATTATAGACTGTGGCATTGTGGTAGGAATTTCTCTTTTATTGCCGGTTAGTTTTGGGTAAATATTTGGTTTTATTGCTTCTATATTTCGATGGAAAGGTTTTACAGCTTTACGGTTAATTTTCGATGGCTTTTAACGATATAAACTTAGACTTTAACAATTGGCGTAGAGAGATTGGAAATTTCAGATAATCATATATCGCAATATCTCAATTTTGTAAACACTATGTTAGCTAGCGTGTATTATTAACAACGTTGTCTTCAGTTCAAATCCCGGTAAATCATGGCTACCATATTTTAAAAAACACCGCGTAGAAAAGGTTTTACTTATTATATCTTAGTTTATCTGTTCTTGGAGCAGATATATAGGAGAATAAGTAATCTTCTTTTTTATATATATATTATTATATAATACAATCTAGTACAATTAATATCCTTCGTCTGGGCCCAGGCCTCTTCTCTTATAGTCTTTTAAAATCCACCACGATACTATATTGCGGATTGGCGGTTACTACCGCCACTAAAACAGTGACTAAAAACGAGGACCCGACGGCTTAATCTTCTCTACGAGGCACACCTTACGTTTAACTCCGGCTGGAGTAGATATGTTGTTAGTAATTTCAATTTCTGAAAATAAATTTGACAGCGTTTTATTAGGACGGTCCCTTCGTATCAGCTTGGAATGAAATATATAGTGTTTATATAGAGTAAAATCAAAACTTGGAATTTATAGTCGTATTTATCAGCGAGGTGTTATATCGTATTAATAAAGTTACCGAGCAATAACGCGCCATGATACTCAACGCGGCCGTGATTAAATTGTTAGGCTCGAGGTACACTGGGCCTTTCGCCTAGTTATAGCAAATGATACAAGAAATAGAAAAAATAATACAATTTGCAAGAAATAAAAGTTTTCTTTAAAGAATTTAAGTGTTTAAGTGTAAGCTTAAATATTTGTGTGTAAGTTTAAGTGATAGATACTGTACATTTAAAGCGGTTGAAATAACCACATAATGTTAATATAATTGAAAATTATTTTTTTAAGCACCATGACATAATTGTGGCACGAACGGTTATATCGTAAAAGAGTAATTTCAGCCATTTTCAGTAAAGATCGAAAAGTGTACTCATTGCACTGCCAGCTTTATTAAGCAGTTAAATAAGCTACAGAAGCTCATGAGAGAAAGAGACGGAACGCCGCCCCGCCCTGATTGGTGGGGAGAAAAACGTTCAACCTTATTGGTTGGCGCATTATGGATTTTTACTACAAGGCGTTCCACATTCAAATATCGATAAAACGTTGACTTTGACAGTTCACTCTTTCCGCGTGCGTACTTTGTCCCTCGCGTTTAAAGCTTCCCTCTCATACCTACTTGCGTGTCAATGTTTTGACATACGTCAGACTTTTTTTTAAATTTGATTAATCTGTGTTTTCTATGGAGACGTTCAAGAATTATAACATGGAATCGCGGATGAGGGAAATATCGGTTGATATCATGTCGAAATCACATGTGTACTCCGACATTCAAAATACTCCACCGTCGTCACCGAAAAGCAAAGGTACGTCTTATATTTAGAATGCAATAAACAAACCAGTTATCTTTTCACAGAAATTATAGACTATTTCATTTTTCTCGTTTTTAAGAGATCTTGACAGAGATGCTTAAGATGGTTTTGACGAAATTATTCCACATCTTTTGGATGCATTGCAATCCCGTTATTTAAACCACCAATAAAACTCATTTAAAGTCGGCATTTATTTATCAATTGAAAACGACTTAACAGCACTTATTAAAATCCATAATTATGTCGTAAACATAAAGTTATTTGTCAAAAATGCCGCTTAGACAAATTTGTACATTCAGGTAAGGATATTTGAAAAAGTGCAAACAATTATGGCATCTACCTCTGTAAGAATAAGAAACAGTTTTGTGATGCAGTTGTTTATTTAGCCATTATGAGGTTACAGCCTTAGCACTTTTGATATTTGCCGCCCTTTAGTGAATATTTGCATTATCTGTGGATTATATTGTTTTATATTCACCGTTAGGTTGTTTATGACGCTAATGGTAACATTTAATGTACCGAAAAAATTCTTCTCTCTTTCGTAAATTACCTTATTTTCTAATCCTATTTGCTCTAAATCACGCACGTTTATCTAAATTAATTTATTGACCTCGCAGCTGTTACAAAGTTCGCCATTGTCTATGGTCACTTCCCGCCACAGATTGACAACTCACCATTTTTAATTACACGTCAAATAGGGTCGGTAATAGGTAGTAGTACGTCTTGTCAATTGGGCTTTAACTGATTCTGTTTTTATTGCCTGCTCCCTACAGAGATATTTATCTCCATTACAGTGTTGCCGACTACTAGATACGGATTTTATTTTGAAAATTGGTTTAGGGGAGCGTGCCGGGGGATGACACTGGATAATTGGCTGTGTATTGGATAATTGTTCGCTATCGTCCGTCTAAATTGTTTTAATTCCTCGGAGGATAACTTTGTTTTTTAAATTAATCAAGTTTCTTGATAATATGGCGCGTTATAAAGGGACGCTGCTTCATCGGGTAATCTTTGCTTTGTTTTTGTCTAGTTAATTTTATAGTTAAAACTGAAATCTTTTAGAATATGATGTGAAGTAATGTATGTGTAAAGTATCAGTATGTACCTACTACAATTAAAAGAATATCTTGGAATTATTCCTAATATGCATTGTCTGTAAGATTTTAAATATTTTCAAAGTAATAACATTAAACTATAAAGACAGGCATAATACCTAAAACTACCACGACAACCGCAACACGTACACCAGTGACAAAGAAGCACATAAATCAAGGTGCAAAAGCTAGACACGCGCCATAACAAAGCCGAATCAATCATTCGTAAACACATTAGCGTAAACGTTCAATTAATACCGATTCGCAACGTAATAGCCCTTGTTATAGTACGCTACGCATCAATTACCTACTATCGATATCGATATACTCACCCTCGGCACGCGTCACTAATTGTCCCACCATTGTTCATGCGTTTATTGTCTATGATACCGGTAATGGGATTTGAATTTGGAACGTTATGCGAGTTAGGGATTTGATGTGCGAGTGTTGCTTTCTCTCGATAGTCAACCTTTGTAAGAGTCACCGTTCTGAATTTTTGTAACTTAATTTGATATTTGTGTACACTTTGTTTGCACGATCAAACGTGTTCTACTTATTATCACATCAGACCATCATGAGTGATCTTTTGTCCGTATTCGGTCACGGTAATTGCTCATGATAATAACGACCGCGGCATTATAATATATTTAGAACAATATTCGTACAAAATTATTGATCTTTAGCGAATCGTCTGCGTCATTGCTGCGATGCTAATAACAATGTTTTGTTAGGGATTTGCTTGGAGAGCAACGACGTGGTTCGTGTTTTCGTTTAGTCGTAGTAATGAGTCTCGTCTGTGCCTTGTACAATCTAAATTAAATTAAACATCTAAAAAGATGATAGGCTAGTAAACAAGAAAGTTAAACAAAGCAGATATACGCATTGTGTTTCTTGTCACATAGTTGCACATTTACCTTGATTTCAATTCGATGCATATCGGTTGGGCGGCAAATGTTGAAATATTAAAAGAAATAGTACTTCATTATAAACTACCCACGCGCATACGTCAACGCTAATGCACCATTTACCGATGTTTCGAAAAGGCCCGACACATTGTTTCAAAACCTGATAATTGTTCATGCAAACGAGAATGTAAGACGGTCATACATTTAATATGACATGGCATTTCGTAATGTCCGATGAGTATGGACAGCGGTAATTTTGTGGGCAGAGTTTTTGTTTATTTTTATACATACACGTTATAATACACCAAATCTATTCTAATACCAATCGAATTATAAATATGTATACTTACTTATTTGATTAAAAAATAGAATACTCAGTTCTCTAGAGTGGCACTTGTCGTCGCAAAAAATTACTATACCAGTGATTTCGGTAGAATGTACATAGTTTTTATTTGTACCAAAATCTTTAAGAGAACAGTGTACAGCAATAATGATAATCAAAAACTTAGTCACACTTATAGCTATATAATACACATACATATATAATACAATATATGTATTCATAGCATTAAATTAGAGTATAAAAAGTGACAAGTAGCAACAACAAAATTAGTTGGCTATTCAATAATAAATAGCTTCTGTGCATTAACAAACAACTTAAGTGATGCATTAACTGTCGCCGTGTAAATTAAAAAATCAAACGTCACATTTAAAAACCGAACGGAAGCAACACGGAAGCTTGTCTATGACACACGCCATAACACAGCTGGAAATAGGATTGTGTAGCTATAGAAGCGAAGAGTTTGACGTTTTTCTGAAGGAAACGCGGCTAGACTGTTGCAAATTGAGTTTTGAGTGCTGTCGCCACCCAGCATGGGAACGATTTAAGTGGTTGCCGCTAATACGAGTTAAAAAAATTAACGTCAGTTGCAAACACTTGAAAACAATAAATATTCTATAATGGGACGCATTTATTTTAATTTGTCTATGTTTAGAGCTTTACGTACATTATCGATGTCCTCTGTGCAATAGACAGAAATATAGTAGAGTTGTAGGCAATCGATTGAGATACTGCTGTAAAACAATTAGAACGTAACCGGAAATGATGCTACCTCTTAATCACGCGGAGCATAGACAATGGAGTTGAAAGCATTACATTTAGCGGCGTGTCAATACGCTCCCTTTTTAAATTTAGAACCACTTCAGCGACTAATCAGATTTGTAAAGTAAAATCTTTTCGGAAGCCGAAATCGGCAGTCTTTGAACTCATGGGAAAATATTTAATTAGAAAATAGCTTATTTGTGTTTGTTTTGTGTTAATGTATTCCTTTTGAAAGGCTGCTCGCAATTAGCACCTACCGGCTTCTGGTAAAAGCGTGTTTTTATGATAAGTCAATTGTGGATTCGGTTAGTCATTAGTGGTATGAGTGTGTCGGTGCACCTGGTGTGATGTTTGCAATAAAAATAATCGATGATTCTTCTACATTTAATTGAGATACCTTTTTTCTACTAGAGTCCATAGACTCGTTCGAATTGACAGATCGCTTTTCGATATTCAAATGAAAACGGCTGTTACCGATAATAGAGAATACGATCCATTTAGAACAAGTAGCCGATGTCTAGACAAGACGGTCATTAAGATAATACTCAGCTTGTATGAAAAGTGCCGACTTAAGGACTACTTATAACCCTTTGCGTTGAGCGTGTTCTTTACGCATTATTATTATTAATTGCTGTTAGACTATTCTTAGAACATTACGCGAGTGTTGTAACTCGAAATAGAATCTCTATGACGATTGATGCGATGTATATGAATGTTACATCAAAACCGGGACATCAATTAAAGCCAACGATAACATGATATAAAATGTAATAAACAACGATATCTTAGCTTATTGCAATGCAAAGCTACAAAGAGCTATTGCTAAGTAATTAAGGCTGCACTATTTATAATTGTGTTTCTCTTGTTGCAGAATCCCTGAGCCCGCAATCCGAACAAATAACAAATTCTTCATCTGCACCAGATCCTAACATCAGGTAAATATTACAGGGCTTTTTTTTACATTCCATTTGCTACTAAATTCATAACATATGGCTAAAATCAAGACTATATCTACCTGTAACTTGAATTATGCAGGCTAAAAGCTGCTTATTATAAGTTATTATTATTGTATGGTAATGTAAAAATGTCTTCTTCAACAGAAGATATCGTACTGCCTTCACAAGGGAACAGCTAGCTCGACTGGAAAAGGAATTTATGAAAGAGAACTACGTGTCGCGGCCCAGACGGTGCGAGCTAGCGGCGCAGTTGCAGTTACCAGAATCTACTATAAAGGTAAATTATATTTTCGATTCGTTAATTTTGGCAGACATATTACATATATTTTCAAGCCTAATTCCGAAACAATTCAGTATTTGTTTTGGTTTAATAATTTGTTTGCTATATTTATTTATTTATTTATTTATTTACACTTTATTGCCCAAAAACAAACAAAAATATAAACGAGACGTATATACTAAAAATATGGTGTGAAATGGGCGGCCTTATCGCTAACGAGCGATCTCTTCCAGGCAACCCAAGATGAAAGAGGAAAAAGTTTTCTGGAAAACGAGATGATTTTAATTAAAGAAATAGGAATATCTACTTAGGCAAAAGCTTCCTTTATGTCAAATCTTACCTACCTACATTAAACTATTTTTTACACCGCACTTCTATCGAAACTTGAAATAGTCACAATTTACAATATTTCTTTTTAATCTACAAAAGATCCGTTTAAATAAGTTCTGTGTTTAATAAACGGCCGGCAATTAATGGTTTTTACCATATTTTTGGTGATTTCTCGTCAACATAGAAGAATTATTTTAACATGACATTTGATTTTAAAGCTTTGATGTTAATATAAAACCTTCACAGTTTTTAAAGCTCTTTTTAGCTATCCGAATTATAAATAATTAAGTATATATCTAAGCGTGTCATCGGAACCCAGTATTAGTTGTAAAACGTAATAAATTGAATTTGTAGTGAATCAGTATTCATAAAATGAGTGATTGGATAAGACTAATTATCGACCACATCCTAATGACACATTCGTTAATTGATCATTAAAATGGTTGATTTTAAAAACAACACGCAACAGATTCGCGTAGAAATTAAATAGGACTATGTTTCTTTGGGTTTTCCATAACTTAATTGCATAGAATATTTTTTGCTAAGTCGTACGTTTGCGATGTAGTAACGTATCTACTTAGTCTATTGCTGCTGAAATATCTTTTCTCTCAAGACTTTTAAGTGAACAAACAAACCTTTACAACTAAGATTTAGTGTCGGAGTGCGTCAATTAGCAGCCATTTTGCAGCTTGCGCGCGCAATATGGCGCGCCTTTAGCAAGCATCATAGACAAGATTATTGCTTTTTACAGGCGCTGAGGTAATAAAATATTCAAGCGCACCGAGATTCTGAGAAGATTATTTTGTTTTACACAGTTTCAGTATAGGGTTGCCACTTTCTGACATTAATCAAAACGCCAATATTATATAGATATATAACTCCTTTTATCGAATATAATAATTAAGAAAAATGCTTTGCTTGGTACTTCTAATAAAAAAAGCAATAAAAGCAAAGCAAATTATCTCAAAGCCTTTATTAAGACACAAAGACTCAATCAAAATAATCTTTTTCTCTTGATAATCACTGTTTTATGGCAAATAAAACATTGTCTATGGCCAACCGAAGTTTATAGACGCCAATAAAAGTCAATCACAATAAACAAATACTTTACACATCAAATGGTAGCCGCAGTTTATAAGTTTTTAATTTTTTAATTGGCGTTATCTTGCAACCAGTTGTATACGTCACTACACTCGTGGACAACACTAGGTATATCTGACGTAAATGTATAATTGCGACAGAAAACTATGTATACCAATTCAATCAAAACCAAAGCTTGGATATCGTTTATTCCTAGATAGTTGTAACTTTTAAATAAATAATTCTATTACCAAGCACCTACACATCGCAACTAAAATATTGCCATAACATTATTCTGTGCATCTAACAAAATATTAAAACCTATAAATGAATATGACCATTAGCCTAAACTGTATTTACATAAACTAAGTTGTTTTAAAAGACCGGCTAATAACACTTTTTGTACGAGTATAAAAAGCGTTTCCAATTCGCTGCACGCGAGTGTACGTCAATAAAGTTGAATGTGTTCATAATGATTTGACTTTATAATGGAGTTTCTTTTCGAATTAATGTTTATTAGCATTGTATGGCTACTGAATAATTCGGTCGGTTCTTTTTAACAAATTAGCGGCGGTGTAAAAGTCGAACGGCGCGGGCGTCGTAAAAACACATGTATTTTCATTTGGGATTTCTTTTCGGACGTGATAATTGTGATTATTACTGCGTCATTTCGTTTCGAAAATATTTAAATTGCCGTGCTCGATTCCCGTGTTTGGGTTCCTCGTCTTAATTAAATTACATTAATTTGCAATAAAACCGGAACACACACTTACTCGTGGTGATACTCTTGTAGGATTTTATTATATAGCTATTATTACAATAATTATTAGTCAGAACAGGTGGATATATAAGTAGACAGACATACATAAATTCCGCCTAATTCGCTTTCCCGCTCTCGTTCCAAGTCTCGTGTTTGGTGTGGTCCCTGTTTTACTCAAATTCAACCTCTTTATTGTTTGTTCAATTGGTACATTGAATGTTTTGTAAATATAGAAATGCACCCAGCCTCGCCAACATAATCATAATAACTAACTGTTTTAATTATATTTTCTCCTAAACGTTTATAAATTTCTTACAATACTTATTATTAGTATAAAGATTCATATTCGACGGATCTTTAAACAGAAGTGAAAGTACAGGACGCTCCCGCTTATTCCTCTACCATAGTTCACACTAATAATGCGAACGGGGCATAATGAAAACGTTCCAAAGTATGATACTTCAATTAGAGCCGTCATAATTTTCCATCAAGAACACTTTAAGAAGTGGCGCTAATTCGCAGAAATCATGTAACAAATGTGTGAGATTGTTTCAACAATCTCAATTCACACTGAACGGTAACTGCTCTTAGCGTTTTAGACGTTGACCTACTATTTATGTTCTTTAGTCTGTGCCCGCGGTTTTGCTTGTTACTTCGTTGATATGTATAGAAATTAAAGAAAAGTCCAAAGCAATGATATTTAGAAAAAAAAATATAATAATATCACTTATGATATCGCGTTTTAATCCGTTAGACTGGAATATTATTAAAATGTACACATACAGTTTTAATAAAAAGACTAAATTTGGTATATATTTGCAATATATGTATAAGCAATGTCGCTTTTCTTTATTAATATAACTAAATACAAATACCGTCTGCCGTTTACACGAGTAGTACCTACACATTTAAATAAATTATACCCTTTAATTGTACTGTATCCAAAACACAGACATCTTCATAAAACTAATCGTAAATTATCTTTCCAGGTATGGTTCCAAAACCGAAGAATGAAAGACAAGCGCCAGCGCATTGCTGTGGCCTGGCCTTACGCCGCTGTCTACAGCGATCCAGCATTTGCAGCATCGATACTCCAAGCTGCGGCTTCCTCAGTGGGCCTACCCTACGGCTACCCGTCGGCACCCATGATTCCTCCTTTCCACAACCCCCAGCTTTTACCCACTGGTTATCCCTACCCCTACCCTTACCCAAGATACCCGTATATTCCCCCAACACCTCCATCACCGGTTAACCCTGAAGGTTCAGTTCGTCCTGGATACTCAAACTTTAATATCAATGTTGATAAGTAAACTCTACGCAAAATATAAGGAGATGTCGGTTTGTATAAAAGAGGCATTGATTGCTTTTTCTTTGTATTTTCAAAATAGTCGTAATAGAAATAAAGCGCGGGATAGCAAAATTAATTTTTTTCTACGTACGACTAAATTATTATATTGTTAAATATTTAATAAAGATTAAAGAGTAAATACGGCTATTGACATAGTGTTTTGTAGCTTTTGACAATGTTGTTTTTCTGTCAAAAATACAGGCCGCCATTTTGTAAATCTAGTTGACCTCTTCAACTGGAATGGTATTAACAGAAATCTCAGTGATGGTATCTTTTTAATTGTGTACGTATGTAAATATTAGATAAGGCAATAATTTATTAACATTATCAAGACCAGTATTTCGTTAAAAGACATTTACTCATTCCATTTTGTACAAATTAGTTTTCGGTGTAAGCGATAGCATAAATTTTAACGTGTATAAATATTCTATTATAGACCAAAGTGTAAGTAATATTTATGATTAGTGCAATATACTTAGTTGTAATTTTGTGGCGTATTATTATAAAACGGTTAAATTTGCGCCAGAATCCGAATATTTTGTTACAGTAGTGCCGCTGTGAATTTGATTTAATCTGAAGTTAGCTCAAACACGCAAAACAGCAGTGTTAGTTATATCCAACTTTATTTTATATATTATAAATGATTTTTGATCCCCAGTCGCACATATTTGTCCCTGTGTAGATTCTGACAGGTGCTTTTGTGACCTGGACCTGTCAGCTGTCGAACGGTATTTCACCGGTGAAATTTGTAAAGGCTCTTAAATTAGTTTTAAGTCACGTTTATGTATAAAGTAATTTTAAATGTATCAATAACACATTAAAATGTTTTGCTCATGTAACGCCACTAAATCTTAATGTTCTTGTAAGTGTAAAAAGCATGTAAATTTCTAAGTGTTTATTTTCGTTGTAATTAAGGTAATGTATAAAATAAAAGACAAATATAAAAAGTTATATAATTAATGGTTTATTCTTTATTTTTGACACCTCGCACAAACACTATTATTAGAATCGATTAAATCAGTGTAGGTACTTTACATGGATACTGTTTACCTAATCGTAATTAACGATCAAAACAGAAGTTTAGTATGGAGTGGTTTGGTAGAGGAATTGGTAGCTGTTTTTCATTGTTTTAATTATAATTTTTTTTTATGTACCTAGCTGTATATTTACTTCATTTTACTTACTCCTAAAAAATAATCTACCTGATTTTTTAATATAATTCTTTCGAACAAAGGACAGTAAACTACACTGTCAGTTACTGAAAAACCGAATTGATGTATTAATGATGAGTACCCATTATTTCTTGAAATATCTTTTTAAAGCTTTTATACAAACTTAATGTTTGACTTTATAGTATTGTTTTAAATACCATGTTTGCGGAGAAGCAATATCCTTAATAAATAAATTATTTTCTATTCAAAATTGTTTTAATAACTGTATAATACTTTAAAGTTGTCAGATTCAAATAATTTATTCCATACAAAGTCCACATAAATATACATAGAAGTTACACAACGATATAAGAAAATAAATAAATGGGTAGCAATAAATACGTACATTAACTTTGGTGTGGAAGGACATCACTCAGCTATTGTTGTAACAACAGAGTTACTGCAGCACAGATTTTCAGTGATGCCCCGTGGATGACACTAAGACAAATCATACACTTATATCATTCAAAAAATGGTACGCAGTTGTAAAGAATATGGAAAGACGTCGCTAGCCAAGTCGTGGATATCCAGAGATTTCCGTAATCGACTCGCTACGCAGCTGACGTGATCGATATTGAACATTCGACTGTTTGAATTTCAGTAAAAATAAAACATAATAAAATATCTTTGTCCCCCCAAGCTGGGACGAGACGCTGTAACATACATTTTTATAATCGAGAGATACTAGATGTGATGAAACAACAATGACGGGTCACCTAGTCACTATGTAATAAGACACCGCCGCTGTCTGTGCGTCCGTGTCAGTATTTTAATACATAACGAAGCAAAGAAGGTTTTATATATAATCCGTGCGTAGATAATTAAAGAATCATTAATTGGTTTCTAAAGTGTTATCGTAAAATACATAAAAAAACTGGCGACCGACAAACTAGAATGACGCGCTACGTATTGTACATTTGATGAAGGTGGTACAATGGTGGTGTATGCAGTGGCGTAGCTATCGTAGGGCCAGGTGGTGCAGTGCACCAGGGCCCCAGAAGTTAGGCCCTCTAACATTATATTTTAGAAGATATAAGCGTAGAAGAAAAGGATTTTTTAAAGTTTTTGTTGCTAGTTATAATTTTGGATGTTCATTTGATTTGACAAGCTATTCTAAATGAGGACCCCGATTCTTTCTTGAGCCTTAGGATTAGATAGACCGGGGCCCTTGTCCACCTAGCTTCGCTACGGGGTGTGTGTCTATATTTATAGGAAAGAATTGCTTATTTACGAAGTGACTATAATAGCATGAAACCTTATCAAAGTAAGTAATTTGAATAAAATGTTTATTTAATATGGAACAATATGGCTTATTACAGCATGTAATTTAAATGAATAATTCCGCAGATATCGCTTATTTGAAATGCAGGGACATTACATATATATAAACGCTGTTTATAAGAATATTTTGTGCCAGATAGCTTTAGTTTCAGCATTGCACACATGCGAAGCCGGGGTACATCGCTAGTACAACACGTAGTACCTACGTGACGTAATGAAAATAATTCTTCCCTAAAACAAATACGTCAGGTCGCGTGAACGTAATTAAGGCGTCGACGTCGGCTTACGTATAATAAACGCCTCTATATTACCTTTCCCGGGCTTATCCAATAATAGTGGCGTTTATTTATTGGCCGAGCTAGTCGCTGTTATCTCCTATGACGCAATAAAGGCTGATGGTTCTTCGGGAGCGTTGGTCCTGTTACAGCAATGCTTTGAATGATTGGGGACAGAGCACGAAGTTCACTTGGAAGGTGAAATACTCCAGCCATATAACATCTAAACAAGAGCCGCCCGAATTATTTGGGCTTTGGGATATAGGTAATTCGAAACGCGGTTAAACTTCGCGACTTTCATCTGTGGGCGATAGTTAACCCGCTATAACAATATCGATATTCCTACAACTACATTTAGACCAACAAGCCTGTAAGAACTAATTAACCACCGATTTTAGCTTTAGATGGAAGCCGAAATATGAATTAACTTCACGGCTTTTTCATCTGTGGTGCGGTGGTGCGTGATTTGAACTTTTATGTTATCCAAATACCCGAATCGTAATAGTACGAATATAATTTTATATAACATACTATAACCAACTTAGGCCAACTGAGCCATAAAATTTTCCGATAGATAGAAAGTTACTATCAATCTTCTTATGTTGGCACCTCTGAAAAAATAATATTTTTTTTTATTTAAAAAAGGTTCACAAAGAATTGCTATAGGCGAAAGATGGTATTTAGTACTTATATAAAAGATATATAGATATTGTATGTGTCTTTATATAAGACTATAGTTTTTTTTAATTTAAATGTATAAGTGTAATTATGTTAAGCGTTAGTGTTTAAGTTTAATAAAATGAATTAAAATAACCTCGCTTGCGTTAGCTCGGCCTCTGAAGGGGCCACAGAATATCAGTGTTGGGATATCAGTCCCAACGTAGCCGAAATTCTTTACATACTTTTTGATATTGTTTTAATTAGATTCGATTTGTATCGGATTAAGTTTTAATTGTAAATGCTGTTTCTGAATAAACGTATTCTATTCTATTCTATTCTATATTTTTCGACATATTAGCTTAATGGCAGTGCGTTTCAGGTTCTATTTCCGCGTGTGCGAAAGAGGGATCTTAATAAGTCAATCTCGCTTTATACCTACTAACAGAATATTTTCTTGAATAATACCGTTATAACAAATAGACAGCATTTATCTTAGCTACGATGGAGAAATAATAAATGATAAGCGTATGGGGGGGAGATTTATTGTAGGGTGACCATATATTTTGTTCTTTTATAACTATTTAAATATTATAATAAACAGAGTTTGTAACAGAATGCGATCTGAGTAATATCTTATTTAGTATTAAGTAAGGGACATCGCGTGGCTAACGCGGTACTGTTTTCGTTTACTTGATTTTAATTAGATTGGTTACTCTGTGCAACGGGTCAAAACAATTGTCGTGTTTATTTTTCGGACGAGTAACTCAATGGTTAGGAAAACAAGTAAGCATTGAGCTACGAAGGTTATAGTTGTCAGTGTTGTATGTGTCAAGTTTCAACACATTTTGCTTGCGCATTGTAACTTTAATAAATTGTAATTATAAATAATCATAACATTGTAAGTTTGAAAAGATTATTATTTTTGTATTTATGTATATATGTTATTGCATAAATACAAAAAACATGTTGGGTGGACATGTGGAGATCGAAACCACGACCAATTAATTAGCCAAACATACAATACCTTTAGACCAATGAACCCCTAAAATTGAGGACCTCAGAAAAATCCTACGTTATATTATACAACTTATTCATAGAAAATACCTTGACTCGTTTGAAAACTATAATTTTTATCATATAATACTTGGCACTGTAAAGGTAAAATCGAATATGAATAGAAAAAAAAGTCGACGGTAACGCGTAGGACACGGTAGCTCAATTGGTCTGAGCAAAAGCACGGAACGCTGTAGATGCCGGTTCATGCCCTGACCGTGTCAAAATGTTTTTTCAAGTTATAATCATTTATTTACTTTACGCAGAAACCTACCGTTATAAATCAGTTTGCTCAAAATTCTCTTTTACCATGGCTAGAGTAACTCGCACAAGCGTAGAACCTGAGACTTTCTGTTAGATACGAATAACCCAGGAATAAGTTTACGACTTCTCAATAATTAGTGACCGCTCGTAAAATAATGAGTTAGATCAGCAAAATGCGATTCCCTTGTTGGAATTGCGTTGAATATCTACTGTAATAA